AAAAAAAAAAAAAAGGCAGAAGCCTCAGAGTTCAGACAGGAGCAGAAGCCCCAGGTCGCCAAGGCCCCAGGTGACTGAACGGCGAGTCGGTCCTCAGAGCTCTGGAAAGTGCAAACTGACCAGCAATGACAGGACAGGTGTTTTGCGGGCTGGCTCCTCCGGGAGAGGTGGGGAGGTGACTGTGCAGTGTCACCGCGGGGAGGAGCTCACGGTATGGCGGATGTCTGGGGAGCGTGGAGCCCTGGTTCCATCCCAGCACGCGCGCACACACACAAAGTAATAATAATGAAAGCCACGGAAGGGTCCCGCCCAGGTGGCATCTTGGTGAGGCGTTCAGAGGGGGCGTCGGAAGTCAGGGCCCTGCGAGGGGTCCCCCCCCCTTAGTCATCCCTACGCTCAGCCCCAAGCCCGAGAGAGCAAATGCAGCGAGCCCGGAGTTAGACTCCCCCTCTCCCCATCAGCACCGCCAGCCACGCACAGCAGGCCTGACCGTGGGCCTGAGTGTGGCTGTGTGGAGACCGCGCCTGCGGAGACAGTGAGGTACACTGAGGCCCTCGGGTGGGCCTGGGGCAGTTGGAGTGGTAGCAATAAGGAAACGGGTGGCCACAGCACACAGGGTGCCAGTGGGACCCAGAGAGAAAACAGCAGGAGGAGACCGGCCTGCGACTGCCCCAGGACTTCAAGAATCAAGCCCTGAGCCTGCTCAGAAGCAGTGACTGGCGGCTCCCCATGCTTGGGGAGGCCACTGTGCCAGGTCACGGTGCTCTGGGCTCCGGCTGCTCCCCACAGCCCTGAGCCAGTCCGGCATGCTCGAGTGGCCTCAGCCACCACCCTGAGTGTCTAGCTCCTGGCCTGTCCTGGAGGCCTGAGGCCTGGTACAAATGCTCAGGCCCTTCCAGTGCTGACCAGAGGGCGAGGCGGAGGCGGAGGTGGAGGGCTGAGCACTGAGCACCTGCTGTGTGCTGGGTGCTGTCCTCAGGCTGGCTTCAGCCTGGAGCCTCCACTCTCAGTCAGACTCCAGACCTGGGCTCCCTTTTCCTTTCCAAGTCCACCGTCTGCTCCCTTTCCAGTCGCCCTGGCCCTGGCCATCTCGCCGTGCAGCCCGGCCCAGCTCGCAGAACCAGGCTTGACTTGCTGCCCTGGTGCCATGTTGGCTGACTTCAAAGTGAAAGAAGCTTGGGGATTTGGTATTGAGCAGTCGTATCACTCAGGGATGAAAAGGACAAACTGGAGCCCAACTGTGTGGATTCCGGTTCCAGCCCTGCGGTCTGCTTGGTGTGTGGCCTTGGGCTAGGAGCCTAAACTCTCTGCACATCTCGTAGTGTGGGGGGGAGGTGGGGTGGCCCTGCCGCTCATGCAACAAAGCCCTTTGCCCAGGATCTGCTGTAGCTTCAGTGGGAAGCATGGCCTTGCACTGCAATTTTGGATTTTTGTTGTTATTACTGTTTTTGAGACAGCGTCTCACTGTGTACTCCAGGCTGGCCTCCAACTCACAACGATCCTCCTGCCTCAGCCTTCCAAATGCACTACCACACCCAGCTTTCGCTGTGTTCTCGCTACAGCTGGGTCCTCCCTGTGCCCCAGGGCACAGCTGCCACTCCGAAGGGAGCCTGCGCTCTGCAGACCCTGTGGGGCGGCTGGTGAGCCCGAGCTGCCCTACACAACCTCCACTCACACCAGTCCCCCTCCTCCCTGTCCCTGGAAAGCGCCAGCTCCCTGCTTGGCTCTGACCACAGGGCTCAGAACTAGCATGTTGCTGCCTCAGGCTCTGTGGCTGATGTTCAGCCTGCAGACACTGGCTGGAGCCTGAGCCAGAAGCTGTGGTTTAGCGGAAGATTAAAATGTCCAAAGCTGCACTGTGGACTTCGCCGCATAGCACAGCCCAATTGCTGCTCTGTCCGGAGACATTGGCCCCCCTTGTCCCCAAGGGCACTGTCCCGGTGTCCCGGGACCACCATGCTTCAGGACACGCAGGGGCACCTGGAGGCCACCATGGTCTTCGAGGGTACTCTGCTGCCCCGTGGCACTGGGAGTGGCCAGCAGGTGCCTGCACTGTGACAGGAGGGACGACACCCATGACACCCAAGCAGGGTAGACAGGCAGTTTGAAGAGCCCGGGACTGAGTCACCTATGGGAGGGTCACGGGTGTCCTGGGCCCCAGGCCCGTCCCCTGGGAGGAAGCAGGTGGATATTTTGAACCTCCTGAGCAGAACTGAGCGACTCTGTCTTCCTTAGGGATGGGCACAAGCTCAGCCTCGGGGACAGGGGACAGAGGAGCAGCTGACAGGCTGAGTGGACCCTTAGGGTTGTTTTGAGGCAGGGTCTCGCTAAATTGCTTATGTTGGCCTCAAACTTGAAATCCTCCTGCCTCATCCTCCTGAGTAGCTGGGATTACAGGTGTGTGCCTGCTGAGGCTGAAGCTTTCCTGAAGTTGCAGCCCTCGTGCCCTGCCCTGTTTATTTGGCATTCTCTAAATTCTGGCATAGGAGTCGCCACAGCCCTTCTGGAGCTGAAGAAACCCACCGGTGTGACAAATTCGGCAATAGGCTGGTGACAGGACAGCTCCCAGTCGGTGTGCCCTGCGTGCAGGCACACACACGTGCACATGCGTGTGACAGGGTCTCACCACGTAGTTCAGGCTGGACTTGAATTGCGAGTGATCTTCCTGCCTCAGCCTCTCTGTAATGCTAGGATCACAGGTGTACGCCACCATACTCAGCGGCATGGCCTCTCGCTGAGCTGCCTGGGCTTGGCGGCCAAGATGTCCCTCAGGACATCCTGCATCCAGAGGGAGGCAGGCTGGAAACTTGTGTTCCACCGAGTGCTGCCAGGGAGCTAAACTTAGGCCTGCAGCAGAGCCAGAAGTGGGCTTTGAGTATAGACAGCAGTGAGGGGCTATTTTCAGGCATCTGGAGAACCCCGGTCTATTCCAGGCCACAGTGATATTTATAGAACCCTGGGCTCCGGGAAGGGACAGCAGCTACCTTAGCCTCCTCTGCGCCCAGGAGCAGCCTCTTTCAGTGGGCACCCGGGAGGTCTGCTGCCCGCACACACCTGTTTCGGGAGGCCGGGCTCTGGGCCCGAGTTACCCTCCTTCTGGTGTGAGGTGCCAGGTCCTTCTGCTGCCCAAGCTCTTCTGCCCCCATCCACCATCCGCTGCCCTATTGCTAGGCCTCTGCTTTGCCCCACACCTAACTGTTGACCGAAACCCTGCTTCTGGCTGCCTGCTCGGTTCGAGGTGCCTTGGCTTGGGGAAACTGCCTCAAAATGAAACATTTTTAAAGGGCTGGGGTTGGGCCAGGGATTTAGCTCAGTGGCTCCCTGCCTGCCTTGCAAGTGCAAGGTCCTGAGTTTGATGCCCGGTACGGGGTAGGGGTGGGGATACTGACTAAAAGGGCTGGGGCTTTAGCTGAGTGTGCAGACCCTGGACTCAACCCCCAGTACCACAAGGAAAAAGGGGGCCTTCTGGGGGGCTTCAGAGAGTGAGGCTGGGTGGAAAAGGACACAGGCAGGGACCCGGGTCAGCGGCCCCCAGAGAAGGGCTGGCCACGCCGCCTTGGAGGAGGGTCATAAGTGGGTGTAGATGCCCTTCTGGTTCTGGATCTGTGGGTGCTGAGAGGCTGAAGGGACCCTGGTGAGTCGGCTGCTGGTGTCCGAGGTGCCAGCCATGTGGCTGCAGCACAGGTGTCACGGAGGGCAGCTGGCACTGCGTGACCTCAGCCTGCCTTGCAAGGTGGAAAGTCTGCTCCATTCATTCTGAGTCAGCCCCTGGCAGGGGCCGTGCCCTCTCCCCACTGTGCCAACACTCCCCACGTGACCTTGCCCTCTGCCAGCCCAGATATAAATATAAGTGCATTTTCCATGGGCTGGTCCTGCAGGGAAACATTCGGCTTTATTTTGGGCCTGTGAAATTCCCTTCCTTCATACCAACAGGTGCAGCGGCCCCATTTAGATGGGGGGCCCCAGAAATAGATGAGACCCCCAGCACAGCTTCCTTTAGGCACCTGGGTGCGACTCCAGGGGAGCCTCCCATCCCCAGCCATGGCATGGGTCCCGCCTGGCCACGGGGGTCCTGCCCTGGGCAGCCACCTGCTTCAATGCCAGGCCCTTCGGGACACGACCACTGTCCCTGTCCAGCCCAGGTGCTGCAGTCCCTGCCTTTGCCCTGGCAGGAAGTGGAGAGGAGCCTGGGAGGGAGGGGTCTCCAGTAAGTTGACCTTGGGAGCAGCAGTTATGGCGATCCTGTGTCCCACAGTGTGGGTCCGCAACCCTCGGCCTGGTGACCTTGCAGGAAGAGAGAATGGGGGACAAGGAGACCAGGGACAGCCAGTGCCCCCAGGCTCGGAAGACCACCTCGGGGGGACATTTGCCTCAAAACTTTGGCCCTGGCCCCGCCCATGGTGCACAGACCCTGGCTTCCTCAGGCACCGTCAGGCTGGGCTGCAGCTCAGCTCCCAGGGTCACCTTGGCCCAGGGCACCCCGTGGCATCAAGGCCTGGTTTGCTGCAGGATCCTCAAGGCTCAGTGCCTCTCTGGGCCTGGCCAGCATCCATGGGGCTGAAACTGCAGGTGGTAACACCAGCCAGGGCTCCTGCCAGGTTTGGCCTGGAGCAGCTGAAGGATGAGCCATGAGGAGAAGGTGCCATGTGTGTGTGGTTCCGGCAGACCTTGCAGAATGTTACAGAATGCTCTCACACAGGAGGTTGGCAGCCCGGGCACCTCTGGGTGAGAGGGAGGCCGCCAGAGGTGCTCAGGTCATAGTCCTGGGTGGGGCACAGGTGGAGCTGATGACAGCAGGACAAGTGTCTCCTGGGCCCCCCACCCACTATCCTCTTGGCGAAGGTGTCACGGTCCTTGCTCGGGTCTGGTTGTCCCCTCCAGGTCAAGTTGAGCCAGTCAGAGCTGGGGACACTGCTCTGCCTGTGATGCCACTCAGCCACGTGCAGCCACCCCGCTGTCCCCAGCCCCACTCCCAGCCCAGTCCTCCACCGGACCCGGACCCTCACGGGCACCATGTTCCCTCCACTGTCCTTGCTGAGTCCTTCCAGCAAAAGCACCTAGCTGGCCACTAGCAAGCTCCAGGACAATGGGTGGGACCCAGGGGACCAAGGCCTGTGGCAGGGGAGGCCAGGCCTCTGTCCTCCTGGACCCCAGCTGAAGGGGCTGCCCAAGGCCAGCCGGCCCTCAGCTCTCGGGGCAGGGGGGACCCTCAGGGGCCAGGCAGCAGCCTGCTTCCTCGTGTCGTGCTAGGAGGGACATACGGGAGAAGGTCTTTCCGCAGCCCTTGCATGGGTACTTCTTGGTTCCTGAGTGTGTCTGCTGGTGTGCCCGGAGGTTAGAGCGGTCGGCGAAGGCCCTGCTGCAGTGAGGGCAGGCGTAGGGCTTCTCACCTGCAGGAGGAAGGCAGGGCTGGGTGAGCAGCCACAGCCAGGGCACGGCCACAGAGGTGGCGACCATGAAGTGTCCTGCCTGTCCCTGAATGACCTGCTCCTCCCTTCCACTGCCTGTGGACACCCAGGGTCATGGCTTCCTGTGACAGGCAGTAGGCCAGACCAGCATCAAAGGCCCCATTCGAGGGCTAGGGCAGCCACTGGCTGAGGCTTCCATGGAGGCCAACCGGATCCGAGCCACGAGGTCCAATATGAGACGCCCTACAGCCTCAGGCTGCTGGCCAACAGGAGAGCAGCCAAGGGCCTCAATCAGGGCCATCAGGGGTTGGGACAAGGGACGTCTATTGGGATCCTGGCCTCAGGACAACCCTGGAAGGGGCCCTGAGAAACTACTATGCAGCCCTGCAGTACTATGGAGTCCCAAGGCACCCACTGGTGTCCCCACGGGCCTTGCCTGCTGGACAGGCTGGCTGTGTGTCCCCAAGTCCTGAGCCTCTGCCCCTCACTGTCCTGATGCCCAGGCCACCTTCCTCTCCTTTCTGCTGCCCCAGACCCAGGACTGCAGGGTGGGCACATGGGCCCCGCACTCTGAGCTTCACCCAGTCTGGGATTCCTCCACACCCTGCTCCCACATCTGTGGCTTGGTTTGGAAACAGGATCTTTGCAAATGTAATCAAGATGTGGCCAATGGGGAGCCTTAACCCCACACGACTGCCGTCGGTGTCCTTGCAGTGGAGGGCCACGTGGGCACAGACACAGGGGCACAGGGCCCGTGAGCAGGGGCAGAGGCAAAGGCCTGTGGCCATGGCCAAGGACTGGGGCGGGTGCTTGCTAGAGCAGAGGCGGGAGGTGACGCTGCCGCCCCAGGGTTCAGGCAGGACCTTAGGGGCGTGCGTCTGTTCACAAGCTGTGCTGGGGACTCCGAGTGTGCAGAGGGGAGTGTGGGACCCCGGCCTCCCGTCCCACCTGTGTGGGTCCGGATGTGGCCCTGCAGCAGCCAGGGCCTGGAGAAGGCCTTGCCACACACGGTGCATACGCAGGGCAGCGTGTGGGTGCGGATGTGCATCTTGAGGGCTCCCAGGCTGCCGTATTCCTTGTCGCAGTGCTTGCAGGTGAAGACGCGCCCGGCCTGCAGGTGGCACTGCAGCTGCTGGTGCCGGGCCAGCCCGGCTGGCGTGTGGTAGGCCTTGTGGCAGTGGACGCACTCGAAGCCTCCTGGGGCTCGAGGGGCCCCCATGGCCCCGAGCAGTTTGTCTGGAGCCCCATAGGCATGGGGGTGCAGGACCAGGGGCCAGCGCGTGGGCAGCAGCAGCAGTGGGGGCAGGTTGAGGTGATTCAGGCTGTCTCTGAGGGGGAAACTGGGGACCCGGGCGGCCCAAGGGCCTCCCAGGCCAATCTCCGGGGCATCTGGCCCGGGAAACCCCAAAGCTTCCTCTTGACGAGGCGGGAGGGGCAGGGAGATGCAGGTGACTGCTGAGGTGCGGCCCCAGGGCCGGGGCAGGTCGCTGGGCGTGGACGGGGCCTCTTTGTTGGGGGAGCAGCTGCCATTGCCTTCTGGGGGACGGAAGAGAACAGAAGGTGAGGACAGCTGGACCCGGCGTGCTTTCAGACTGCTCACCGCACCCACACACAGCATCCAGACTGAGCTGGGACAGTCGAGGCGCCCCACAGTGTGCGGCCACTGCAGCTGGAATCCTGGCCCCAGAGTCAGGACTACGTCCCAGGTGGAGAGTAAACCCCAGCTCCGCGTTAAAAAATGGAAACAAAGCTTTTGTAAATAAGGAGGGGAAGAGGGGTCGAAGGGAGGGGAGGGGATGGGAAAAGAGAAGCACGATCTATCAGGTGCAGGTAGAGATCCCCTATAATGAATGTGACCATTATGTGTATCTAACTAAAACAAAAACCACAAAAAACTAACAGAAAAGTGGCTTCTGAGCCATGCGGCGTGGTGGCGCACACCTATGATCCCAGCACTCGGGAGGGTGAGCCAGGAGGATCACCGTGAGTTCCAGGCCAGTCTGGGCTGCGTAGTTCAAGGCCAGCCTGGATCAGAGTGAGATTCTGTCACACACACAAAAAAAAAAAAAGGAAAAAGAAAAGCAAAACGGGGGCCAAGGATTTAGCTCAGTGGTGCCACCACCTGCTTCACAAGTGCAAGGTTCTGAGTTCGATCTCCAGTCCAAAAAAAAAAAAGAAGAGCAAAAGGTCTCCTAGGACCCCAGTGCCTTGCAGCACAAAGCACCTCTCACAGGGTGGCAGAGCTGTCCCTCCATGCCCCGGGCTCTTGAGCCCTCCGGGGAGCCCCAGCCCAGCCCAGGCTGTGGGCTGCGGCCCAGCCAGCAGCGTAAGGTCAGAACCCTGGGCCGGAGGCGCCAGGGTGAGAGCCGCTGTCCACCCCCACAGTCATTAGCCTCCAGTCACCCTGTCATCACCCCTGTGGCGTCTTCCCATGCGTATCACGATGCAGTCAACTCCTCTCCAGCCACCGGCAGCAGCCCACTGCTCCGGAACACGCGGGGACACGCTCAGCTGGGTGGGGACGGGCTCTCGGGTGCTGTCCCCACCCAGGCAGCACCAGCCCCGCTCCTGGCATGGCCAGTCCTAGCAGCTGTGACCCCTGCTTTCACCAGCCAGAGCAGCGGCCTCAGACTAAGAGGTCGCTCCACAGGAAGGAGGTCATTTCTGGACTCCCCAGGGCCCGAATCACCAAACAGCCCCGGATCCACTTATTCTTCCACAGCATGGAGACAAGTCTGTGGCCCTGTACCTCCACCCTGGAGCTTTGGAAGAGAAAGATGACTCATAGAGTGGGAGAAAATGCAGCACTTGCAAGTCAGGTATTTGATCAGGAACCAGCATCCATAATATATAAAGAATGTTTGCAACTCAACAACAAAAAGACAAGTGATACAATACAGAAAAGGAAAGATGAGCATGGCGTCTTCTCCATAGAGGATGCCCAAGTGGTCAGTGAGCACAAATGGTCCTCAGAAAAACTCAGCCCAGACCACGGCAAGACCCACTGCACACCCTCTTGGTTGGGTCGAAGTTAAGGGAAAAAAATAAGCACTGGTGAAAATGAGGAGAAAGCAGGAAGGTTTCCCGTTCCCCTACAAGATCAGCCCAGCAGGTTTCCGTCCACCAGGAGGGACAGGTGACTGACAGGTGACAGGCACAGTCCCAGAAGGCTCTGGAGAGACTGTGCCCCCCAGCGGACAGGAAAACCACGGTCCCGAGTCCAAGGCCCGGCCCCTCCTTAGCCCTAGGCATCAGCCAGAGTTAAACTCTGTGGCCCCGAGGTCACAGCAGAGGCAGGGGCAGGAAAGGAACTCTACGCCAGCCCAGTGTGCAGGCAAAGGTGGCTTCTGCTTTCTTCTTCCTTTTCAGTTCTAGGGAGGAAACTCAGGGCACTGTGTCACTGAGCTACATCCCCAGCCCTTTGAACATTTGTTATTTTGAGACAAGTTTTTCACTACGTTGCCCAGGCCTCAAACTTGCAGTCCTCCTGCCTCAGCCTCCTGAGTCACCAGGATTAGAGGTGCATGTCCCTGTGCCCCGTGGTGAGAGTACCTTCTCTACATCCTGCTTTTCGCCTCTCCTGCAGCTGGTTCTGGCAGAAGGCTTCTGAGTTCCCCAGAGCCCTAACCGGGCGCCAGCTTAGAAGGTGAAGGGGCCCCAAACCTGGGCACCTCAGGTCTGTTCTGGGACGGCATCCTGGCTCAAAGCAGGAGTTCCACACTTTGAACCCTGTCACCCTGAGCTGCTGGGGGTGCAGCTCAGCTCGCTCTCACTCGTGAGTGCTTCCCTAGCAGGCATGAGGCCTCGGGTTCCATCCCTAGCACCTCAAAGAACAGCACGACACAAAACAAAACCCCTAACTATGACCGGTGTGAGTTCAATTTTCCATCACAGCTCAATCTGGGTCCACGTATCTCACTGAAACAAAAGCCCCACGCGCTGTGAACGCTCACCCCAATCGTTTCTGCTCTATTGTATTTCACGAAGGCGGGGGTGGCCACTCACCAAACTGACTTCAGAATGTGCACTTGAGAAGCAGGGCCCAGATGGCACCCCCTGGTGGCAGCCTGGGCTGAGAGACGGATAGGGGCTCACACCCCGGGGTTGGGGGCTGGGCAGGGCTCCCTGGCTGGGGTCCCGGGTCTCCCTGAGACCCCGGGCACTGAGCAGTGGGGAGGGAGCTGCGGATCTGAAGCAGGTGGGGCTGGGGAGTGGGGCTGAGCCAGGGAGGGGAGCACCGGGGGCCAGGCCGGTGGGGGCCACTCTGCCAGCTAGGCAGTCGGCTGCCCTGGCGCTGGGTCCTCCTCTGCCTACCCCCATCTCAGACCTGCCAGGGGCGGAAAGTGTGGACCCTGAGCTGTCTGTGGAGGACTGTGGGCCTAGCCCAGCCCGGACGAGAATGGCCAGTGGGCTCCTGGGGTGAGGGCAGGTCTTGGGAGGCCACAGCGAGGCCCAGCAGGACAGGTACCTGGGGGGGCCGGGGGGCCCCTCATCTCCTTGTTCCCTGTGCCCACCACCCCGCCAGGATGCTCTCGGGAGCCCAGCCAGGGAGCCCACCCATCCCAGCCCGAACCCCCTCCCTCTCCCTCCACCAGCTTGGGGCAGGATTCAGGGCTTTGGGGTCCCAGGGGCTCTGGGCGAGTGACAGGCCAGTGCGCGGCCAGCCTTCTCACCCTTGCAACTTCCTGCCTAGGAGATGACACGGGTCGGTGCTGGGCTGCAGTGGTGAGTGGGCGGAGGTCCCCACGAGGCGGCGCCCCTCACCTAGCACAGGTGCGCTCCCGTCCCAGGACCCCAGTGCAGCCGGCCCCTACCTCTGCGCGTCTCCAGCCGCCCGTAGTCGGGTGCCCGGTGGCCGGGCTGCGTCTTCACCAGGAAGGAGCGCGGCATGGTGCGGCGGCGGGGCCGGACTGGACTCGGGACGGCCGGCAGGTGCGGGGAGGCCGGCTCATTAGCATAGCGCGCAGCCTCGGCCAACCAGCGGCCGGGGCGGCGTGGCGGGGCCGCGGGGCCACGCCCAGGACAGGTGCGCGGGCGGGGTCGGGCCCTCGGGAGGGTGCAGGGGCGGAGCGCGGACCGGGCAGGGTCCCCTCTGGGGACTCGCTTCGTTTGCCTCGCGCCTCCGGAAGCAGCCCGGGACTCCGGACCGCTAGGGCTGCACGGCCTCCCGTCCTCCGCGCCCTTCCCGCTGTGCGGGCCTCTCTCGGCCCGGAGTGTCGCGACTTGGGGGCCCCACGGCGTGTCTGGGTGGGTGGACACAGCACCGGGCGGCCCCAACAGTCGCGGAGTGCCCGCGCCAGGTGCCAGTCCCGTCTCCCGGGCGATGCCTCGCCCGCAGCCTGGTGCCCCTGGCCTTTGGGGCTGGGAGCGGGGAGCTGGGGGTGAGCTACGGGAGCTGGGACGGAGGGCGGGGGGGGGGGCGTCACCCCAGTGCGCGTTCCTGCGGTGGCCGGAAGCCAGTGGCTGGCCTGGCGTTGTCTCTGCTCTGCACGTGGTCACGGGGCCGTGGAAATGGGGCCCGACGCCCCTTCCCATTGGCAGGCGTAGCTCCTGTGCTGCTGAGGCTGGGAGGGGACACACAGGTGGTGCCCACGAGGGAGCAGGCGCAGGCTCCGTGCTGGCCCTGTGGCTCTCACTCACCTGTTCCTCGGCCTGGCCAGGTTTCTGTCTGTGGTTTTCGTGCGTGTCCCCTGCCAGGCACACTTAACACCCAGGAGGCCTGAGCCAGCCTCCCTCCAAGCTGTCCTCTGCGCCCACCGGGCGGTCCTGCAAGTGTGTCCCTGCCTCTTAGCTGCCCTGCCGCTGTCAGGGGCACACTGAGCCTGCGCTGGGAGTGCCCTGAGGGCCTGAGGCTGAGGTCCCCAGGACTTCCGAGTGGCCCTCCTGGTGGCCATGCAGCCTCATTCTTCAGCTGTGACGTGTACTGCATCCGCCTGCACCCTGCAGGGCATCTGCCTTGTCCCCACGTGCGCGGCCCCAGGCAGGGACGGCAGATGTCTCCATCCTGGGACTTCTTTTGTCCCATACCAGCTCCTGGGCCCCAGGGGCTAATCCTGCATGCCTTGCCGCAGAGCCATTCCCAGCAGCCTCCCCAGTCTGCGCGCCCTTGTGGTGACTGGGGCTCGGCTTCTGCCCTCCACACCTGGGACCCCAGGACAGTGGCCCCCTGTGGGCCAGGCACCCTGTCTGTCCACAGCCTTCCAGGCTACCCCATCAGACAACCAAAGAAGGCTTTTCAAGTGGGGTCCCCACCCCTGGGGCTGCAGGTCAGATTATGGGATCAGATTGCTAGTTTCATTCAACCATGTTGATATTTTTTCATCTTTTTTTTGGTCCTGGAAATTGAGCTTACAGCCAACTGCATGCTAGGCAAAGCTCTGCTGCTGAGCTATATCCCAACCCTTTTTATTTTTATTTTGAGACAGGGTCTCATTAAGTTGTCCAGGTTGGACTTGAACTTGAGATTCTCCTGCCACAGCCTCCCGAGTATCTGGCATTACTGGTGTGCACCCCCATGGCTGGTATTTCATCCTTTCAATGGGCTCAGACTTGTGATCTTCCTGGCTCTGCCTCCCAGATTTCTGGGATTATGGGTGCGGCCCAGCACACCTGGCTGTCTGAACTTTCTTGGCATGTTTTGCAGCAGACTCGGCAGTGGGTGGGTGCACACGGCACACACAGGCTTCCCCATCCCTGTCGTGTGCCTGCCTTTTTACTGTAGGGTCTTGGTAACTCAGCCTGGAAGTCCCCACGCCCGTCAGATGTTGCCCTGCACAATGGCTCGGGTGAGATCACCTTGTTTTGTGCAGGACATCTTGGGTGGCCAGGGCCGCAGTGGGTGCTCAAAGCCTGCTGCACTGCACATTCCATTCGGGGCCCCAGACAGCCTGGCCTTTCTGGAGCGGCTGCCCCTGCCCAGCAGGGTCAAAGTGCGAGACCACTGTGCTCCCATAGAAGCGCTGGTGAAGGTTCAAGGCCCCTGCAGCCTGGCAGCCTGGGTTGGGGCTCCCTCCCAGGGGGCAGAGCTGGCACTGGAGCGGTCACGGGGGAAGGTGGAGGGGCTGGACGTCTCCAGGCTTGGGCAGCACCACTGCCAAGGCCCGAATCTGGTGAGTCTGCTGGCTGGCACGGCCTTGGTCACACTCAGTGCCGGGGAACTCCCTAGCACTTGTGGTGGCTGACGCACCATTTGGGGCCTGTGGAAGGTGAGTGTGGGTCCCACCACGCGGGTTGTGGGATGGACAGGGTCCCTTTATCCAGCAACCGAGGCATGGGAAACAGGCCAGAGTGGACCCCACAGCCGTGCCTCAGGAAGCAACACCGGGAGCAGGAGGGAGGCAGTGCACACACGTGTGTGCATGTGTGGGTCAGCGTGCCAGCTTGTGTGCCGTGGCCAGAGCTGGCCTCTGTGATCGGAAGGAGGGAGCCGGAGCTGCGCAGGGTCAACTGGGGGCCCATAGACCTCAGCAATGCCCTCCAGAAGCACCGGGGGCCAGGCCACAGGCCCAGCAGGGCCCAGACCAGCTTCGCTCGCTAACAGGAACAGGGTGCCCCAGGGCTGGCCCAGGGCCTCTGCCTAACTGGACTCCAGGAAGCAGGTGGAATAATTTCTGAAAGGCAGGAGGGGGAGGAAAGCTCAGGAATGGCCTCCCTCTCAGACCCTCAGGCCCAGGAAGTGGGGAGATGTTCGGTCCTGTCTGGGCCCTCATCCTGGGCTTTTTCTCCAAGTACAGAGCCTGCCCTTCCTCGAGAGTGCACAGCACTAAACCCAGAAACTGGGAGCAGGAAGGTGGGGTGTGCAAAGGACCCCAGGGTGGGTGTGATGTCCCACAGATGCCACCCTGGGAAAGTGAGCCCCTCCTCGACCTGGCCGGGCAGTTGTCCTGCTGAACCTGGTGGTGACCATGTGTGGCCAACCCTGGTCTGGGGGTGTTTAGCCGGCAGGTCCCAGCTCCTCCAAAGGAAGCTGCCTGGCAGTTTTTTCCACCCCCTCAGAGGATGGGCTGAGCCTCACTGGCCTTTGTCCCCTTCGTGGCTGGACTAGAGAAGCACCGGCCACCGGGTGAGTGAACGAAAGACCTTCCAGGAAATGGAGTGTAAGCTCCCATGCCTGCCTCACCTGACATGAAGGGCGTGTGGTTTGCTGCTGGGGCTTCTGCTGCCCTGGACTCCACAGGGCACAGCAGCCTGGCCTGGTGATGCTGGTGGGCTTCCTCAGCATAGGGAGCTGGCCTATGGTGCTCCCAGCTGGAGCAGGGCTGTGTCTGGGCAGCTCCATACCCCCGTACATACTCCCTGGCAGGACAGGGACCACTGGCAGGCTGAAGTTGCTGTCCTGCCCCCAACCTGCACTAACCTGGGGTGACACCCAGGGAGGGCCCTGCTCTTGTGGCGCTGCCCTGCGTGCTATGTGTTTCTGGCTTGTGCTCCACTCCTGCAGCATTCTGTGCACACACAGGGCTCCCTCACCCTGTGTGGCATCTGCGGGGATCAGGTGGCCGAACTGCCACCCCCTTGGGGTTTGCTCTGATGACCTCCAGAGCCTCTGGACATGGTCACTGGGGGTGCCAAGGCCAGTGGGGGGACAAGACCGAGGCAGTACCTTCCACTAGATGCTGCCCAAGGCTTTGTGGAGGGATCCGGGGGTAACTGACCCAACTACTCCAGAAACAGGGCTGGGCGTGAGCCGGGTTGTCCTGCAGACAAGCAGGCGGGGTCTGGGGATCGAGGACTGTGTTGGGCTGGCTGCTGCCCCTCCCTCCTCTCCTCTGCTCCTGTATCGGGGACTGAGCCCGGAAAGCACTGAGCGACACCCCCTCCCCATTCCCATCTGAAACAGGGTCTCGCTGGGTCACTTCGCAGCCCAGGCTGGGCTCATGCTTGTGATCGCCTTTACCTCAGGGCCCCGAGGACCAGCTCAGGCAGCATGAGGGGCGGGGCCCGGGGACAGGAGCCCAGCAAGGCCCCTGCCCACCCGGCTGCTCCTGCCAGCAGCATGGTACGGATGGCCCCGCTTGGGGGGCTTCCCTTCTCTGCCCCTCCTGGCCGCCATACCCTCTGGGTCACCCGATAGCAGCAGGCACAGAGAAGGGGCACCGACTTCGGCTTTCTGATTGCTGGCCCTGGCCCCAGGCGCCCAGGCCTGCAGCAGCAATGCTGACGTGGCAGGTGCTGTGACCTCCGCAGGTGACACAGAGACCGGCAGTGTTTCCCAGAGGGCAGGCGAGCAGGCGGCCGGCGCTGCTGGGGTCAGGACCTGCCAAAGCAGGTCCCAGGATGCTGCCACGTCTCTTGCATGGTGTGGCTCGGGACCCGTGACAGCGGACTGTGTCACCAGTGGCCAGCTGTGGGGCAGGCCTGGGCCTGAAAAGCAGCTCCTCTGCTCCCACTGGGCGGCAGGCAGCCAGCTCTGCTAAGGCAGCTCGTGCTTTGGGTGCTGTGCCTCCTCTGGAAGCCAGCAGGAGGGCCACTGGCTGCAGCTCTGCAGGTCCCCAGAACCCAGCGGGGCCTCCTGGACACGGGAAGTGTGCAGACAGGGTCTAGGAGTAGCTGGAGGAGGGGACCTTGGGGGTACCCACAAAGGCACCCTAAGATGGCTTTGCTTCATATGGGTGATGGGAACCCGGCCACCACACCTGCTACTGTCTGTGGAACCTGGCTTGCCTGGCTCTCGCCACGGTTTCAAACTTTGGGACCACTTTTGTCTTAGAGAGAACTATGCAGGACAGAGATGGGTGGGGCGAGAGGCAAGGACAGACAGGTGACCAGCTGCCACGGGGCTGGCGGGCAGGCAACTCTTGTGGGCTCTGACTCTTGATCAGCAGCAGGACAAGGCATCCTGTACCCGAGCACTGGTCTGATATACAGACCGAGCAAAGAGGAACAGGAGGTTCGACACCCCCTCAGGGGCTCTGTGTGGCCCACATAGCCTAGGGACACCAGGCCCAGGGTGCGGGGAGCAGCCGAAGATCTGGATGGGTGAGAGGCAGGGCCACCGCCCCAGTGCCCTCACAGCTGATGGCTGAGGATGGAACCACTGCAAGGGTGCTGCAGGTGCTTGGAATCGTTTTATTGAAAACTTTGAAAAGACAGAATAATTTATGCCATGAACAGAACGGAAGCACTGAGCAGTGTTCTCTGGCCTGACCACCCCCAAGCAGGCCCCTGCCTGGACCCCAAGAACTGGCTACGATTGGGGTAGCAGCCACCAGGGTGAGGAACAGGCAGGAGGCCAGCACCACGGCCAGGGTACTGGGGCCACTTCCTGGATGTCAGTGGGGAGAAGCTGAAAGCAAGGTCCCCGTGAGCTCAGCGGCAGGTGGCCGGGGACGCTGCCTGCCAGGCCCAGGGAGACCCCAGCCTGTCTGGCTCCGGCTGTGCCCCTCACTCCTCCCCTCTGCTCCCACACAAAGGTTAGTTTTGATTGCTTTTTCTTAAAAAATATAATTTTGTAAATGTTCCATAAAAATACTATTCTTCCTAGTCAACACAGATATTGCAGTATGAAGTGTAGCTGCTTTGTCTTTGCTCTATAAAATGTGAAAAGGTTATCACATGGGATAAGATAGAAAAACGCCAGGGTTTCTAAGTATCACAAAAGCCAGTACCAAATGCGCACGGTGGAAGCGTAGCCGGGGGCCGGGTCAGGCTGGGGTTGGCCGGGCCGCTCCTCTGGCTCTCCTGCTGCAGCACAGCCGGGCACCCTGTCCGTCACGCAGGGACAGCGTCATGGCTTCAAGAGGCAGCCGACTGCTCCGAGTCCTTCAAGAGGCAGCCGGCACCTGCCCCGCAAAGCACCGATGACCCAGGGCTGCAGCCGGCATCTGGGCGGCCTGCTGACGGCTGAGGGGGCTTTGGGCCCGAAGGCTCTTGGTGCCTGGCCCAAGGGCAGCCCCGCTGGACCTGGCGTGGGTGGGAGCCGGCTGTGCCTTCAGTTCTCAGAGAGGGACAGGGCCAGGGCAGCCTGGAAGGCAGCTTCTTCATCGATGCTATAGTCCTGGGGACAGAAGCAAGACAGGCCGGTGCAGCAGCAGCAGCCCTCCCCTCGTGCCAGTCCCCCAGGTGGACCTTCTCTTTCGCCTGCACACCACCCCTCCGGGGATGCCCACTGCCCTTGCACAAGGTGACCCTCAGGCTCCCCCAGGGCAGCTGGGCCCAACAGTCTAAAGAGGCCACTTGGCATGGCTATGAGTGAGGGGCAGATGCGGGGCTGAAGCTGTCCTTCACCTCAGAACCTGAGAAATGGGGCCCCAAGACCTCCAACAGCCAGGGACAGGCCAGAGGGGAGTCCTGGGCTGCACCGGGAAGGAAGAGTGGGATGAAGGGTCTGGGCCTGGGGTCTGCACCCTTCCTGCCCTCTGCAGGTAGGGGGTGAGGGGTCCCTCTGGCCTCCAGAAGTGCTAGAAGGAAGCTGGTGTACCCTGGGGTCCCCGAGACTGTGCCAGGGTAGGGCCTCCTCAGGGGCTGACCTACAAGGGCAGGCCCTCATCCCTGCTGGCTGTGGACCTTTGGTTTCTGGCCTTCTCTAAGGACTTGGGGCCCCGGGAGGGGCACCCACCAGGGAGGAGGGGAGGGGCACCCACCAGGGAGGAGGGGAGGGGCACCCACCACGAAGGTGTCGTAGGAGAACTTGTGCCGGTGCAGCAGGTGCTGCAGGAAGTTGGCGCTCTTGTAGCTCGGGTCACCCCAGGGCATGGCTGAGCAGATGGGGCACACCTGGAGGAGAGGGCCAGTGTGCAGCAGGTGGGGCACAGGGTGCAGGCCTCCCCAGCCTGGGACACAGCCTTGGGGCTGCAGCTCGAGGGTGGAGCTCAGAGATCCGGGCTGGGCTTGGACCAGGTGCTGCTGGAGCACTGCCGCCTACTGGGGGTTGCGGCAGCTGCGGGTGCAGTGTGGACTCACCACTCGGTTGGGGTCGCTGCGGTGGCTCTCCACACAGTGCTTCACCAGCTCCTGCTGGTCCAGGTTGCGGGCGCCGCAGTAGGGGCAGGCAAAGGTGGACCTGTTGGGGACGTTGCTGCGGGGAAGAGTGGGCTGAGGCTGGGGCACTGCCCGCCCCACTTCCCAGACATCGGCGTAGCCCCTCTGTGAGCTCGACAGGACGAGCCAGCTCCCAGGGTGGCTGAGGAGCACCACGCTGGGGCTTTTCCTTCCCTGGAACCTCAGCCCAGAAGGGGGCAGGGACGGTGTTGTGCCCAGAGGCGCCGTCGCACGGTCCACCTGCCTGGCGCACACCCTCGCCTTGGCTCCCACACCTCAGGTGTCCCCAGGGCCACCTGGACGCCCGGCACCCCCCGCCACTTAGAGACCCACAGGAAGTTGCCCACCTTGGAATGGGCTGGGAGGTGGGCACCACGGGGACAAACTTGGGGCAGTTGGCCATCTGCTCCTGGACCTTCAGGCACGAGGACACGTGCACTCTCATCTTCGCCAGGGTCACCTAGGTGACAGGGCAGCAGGCAAGGCGGTCCAGAATGGAACCATCTGCATGGGTCACGCGCCACAGGGCCATCCCTGCTCCCCTCGAAACCCAGGGGCCCAGAGCAGCAGTCTGTGGTGCCCTGGAAGGGGCTTCGAGGGATGCAGCTGGGAAGACGCTGGAAGGGCCATGGGCTCTGTGTTCCCCCCAGGCCCGCTGAGCTGCACAAGCCCAAGGTTGCTCCATAGAGCAGCACTCGGGACAGGAGCCAGCACCCCCCCTCCGTGGGGTCCCTCAGAGAAAGGCAAACTTGGGAAGCTGTACTCCTCGAGGGAAAGGGAACCGCACTTAGTAAGAGGGGATACACATCTACTAGGGACCGGTGGAAAGACTCTTGACAAAACCTCTCCCCTGGCATAAACACACATCTTCGCAAACTGCCTAACTCAGGTGTCCAGAGTAACAGGCCCCAGCGCTGGCAGCGCCCAAGGTCACTGTCACGGTCCTGGGGACATGGGGCCAGAAGCCAGAAACCTGCCCCGGTCGGGCACTGTGCAGGGAGGACCTCCACCTGGGGAACCTCAAGGTTCCCATTTTCGTCTCCCCAGGAGGGTCTGTCTGGTGGAGCCCGGGGGTGCCTAGCACCCCAGATGGACTCAGGGTGGCCCCCAGACATCTGCACTTGACCTCAGCATGGAGCAATGAGGGGCTGCTTCCTACTGTGTGGGTCAGCAGGGCTTAGGACCTGAGCTGTGGCCACATCTAAAACACAAATTCAAAATATGTTCCCAGCTGTTTGACCAAGGGCCCGCGTCAGGGCTCCCACCCTGCAGTGCTAGGCTTGGGCACAGGGAGAATGTGAGGGGCGAGCAGGCTCTGGGAGTCCTGTCACGGCGAGGGGTCCTCTGTGGACTCTGATCAAGGCAGTGCCCCTCTCGCTTCCATGGGGAGGGCAATGGGCCAGCTGTAAGGTGCTCGGCACTTCCACGGGCCTCCTCCACTCAGAGCCCACAGCTGCTGGCAGCCCGAGCACCCAGCCCACATCTGGGGGTTCTCCCCTGGAAAGGGACGGAGGGCGAGGGCAGGGTGCGGGCTTCCTCACTCCAGAGCAGCTGCATTGCTCAACAGGACAGGGGCAGCCCATCCACCCAGTCTTCTGCAGGACAGGGTCCCCGGCCGCCCAGGCCAGGCGCTCGGTACCTTCTTGTTGCAGCCCCGGCAGGGAGCCTTGTAGGACGAGAGCTGCTTCTCCACGTGAGTGGCTTTGTCCACTTTCTTGGGGTCAAAGGGCAGGCGGCAGAGCGGGCACAGAGGGGATGGCACCTGCAGACATGGCTGGAGGCACTCCCCGCAGAACCTGCAGGGGACACAGGTCTGAGGGCTGGCACCAGCAGGGCCACTTCTCCAACGTCTCTGTGCTGCCCACCAGTTGGCTAAACCATGGAGGGTCCCTCCTGGCACAGGCCCCACCGTGTCCTGCATGCCGGGGGCAGCCGCAGCCTACACTGCTGGCCCTGCAGCCGGCACCCTGGCAGGGCTCATGCGGCTCCTCCTCACGAGTACAGGCAGCACTTGCATGACGAGACGGCTGGGGCACAAGCAGGGAGATCGCCAGGAGGTGTAGGCAAGGAATGCTGGGCCCGGATCACACAGCACAAGGCCCTGGCTGCCAGTTCAGCCCCCATGGACAGCTCCCCAGGTAGGAGGTGCTCCTGCTCAAGGGCCTGCTCAGCCAGCTTAGGTTCTGGCACAACTGGGGCAGCGGCTGTAGCAGGCCCTGTGCTTCTGGCACCATTGCCTGAGACCGTGTGGCGCGCCCATGCCACACAGTCCTTGCAGATTTGGACTGGCAGCAGGAGCCAGGCTGTGCCTGCCCACATCTCCGCTGCTCCGTAGGCCCAGGTCGGCAGTGGGAGCAGGGGAGGAAGGGAGCAGGTCACAGGATGAGTTCTGTGCAGCTGCACAGGAAGCGCCGTGGGGACATCGTGGCGCAGAAGGTGCCTGAACACGGGCACACTGAGGCAGCACCCCAGTCCTACGACAGTACCTGGCTGGAGCAGGAAGCCACCCAGCCCAGCAGAAAGATGGCAACCTTGTGAGTGATGGCACAGCTAGCAAAGTCAAGGGCCCGTGGGGTGGGGACAGGAGCCGTGGTGGATGGAGGGGATGCAAGACAGGGCCTGAGTTCACAGACACCTTGGCTGTGGTCTGGGGTCAGAGTTCCTGTGTCAAGAGACTTCATTCCCTCAAGAAAAAGTCTGTTCTGTGGTGAAGAAGGAAGGCCCAGGGCTTCAGGCAAAGCGAATGCCATCTCAGGCCCCTCCCCTTCCCAACACTGGCCTCTGGTGGGGCCACCTGGCTCGTCACCTGCTAGTCACCTGGTCAGTCACACGGCCTGACTGCCCGTGAGAGAGGACCAGGTCTCTCATGAGACAGGAAGGATTTCAGGAGCTTTTGCTGCACAGCAGCGTGAGCAGAGGGGTCTCCCCAGGCACCCACACACCCATCCCTCAGTGTCCAGGGTACCCCTGTCACTGGCCCAGAGTCCAGTTAGCCTAAGGCTGAGGACCCCTTTCTCCACCCAAGAACCAGAAGATGCCAAGGGATGAGCCACACGAAGGCCACACACACGTCCACAGCACTGAGATGCAGTAACAATTCAGAGGCTGTCTTGGCCATGAGAAGGAGCCAAGCACGGACGCACATTACACACAGCCAATCCCTGAAAACATGACTCGAGGAAGAGGCCACAGGAAGCCACATGCAGTAGAATACCGGGTACGCGGAACGCCTGGCAAGGGCACAGCCATGGAGGCAGAAGCAGACCAGGGGCGCCCAAGGACTGGGGAGCAGAAGGAGGACTGGTTTCTCTTTTGGGGTGGTGAAAGTCCTAAGTCGGGGTGATGGCTTGGTACTGTGTGAGCATCACAGAAACCACTGAACTCTACACTTTAAACGAGGAAATAGTGAGGTGCTGAATTCTACCTTAGTGAAGCTGTGAAAACTCAAACAGAAGGCCCAGCCATGTGCACGCGCTCAGGCCACAGTGTGGCCACTTCACTCAGCAGAAGGAAAAGGGTCCTTTGTAGAGCAGGGAAGGCCAGGTCTCTGAAGAGGAATGGATGGAGGTCAGGTGCCTGGCACTGCCCACAGGGGTGGTCAAGAACCTGATTGCCTACAAAGTGACTGTCCCCAAGCCTCAGCCCTGAAGGAGCAGCAAGCAGAAGGATGCATGCAGGTGGTGGCATGGGGCTCTCAGCCTTCTTTCATCTTCACCACCCTGTGTGCTGGCAGCAGCAGCCGCAGCAGGGTCAGCCTTTCCCACAGGAAGTTCCTGCCTGTGTCTGCTCAGAGCCAGGTGCTGACTGGCTTCTCAGCCAAACGAAGTAGCTGAGGGCAGTGGGTGTGAGCTGGCCCTTCCCCCAGAAATCTGGGACACGGAGGATGGATCACAGGCCACAGAGTACCAGCACCTGCTCCAGGCTCCTACACACACCAGGGAGTTAGGAGGGGCCAGTGTTTCAGAGGTCCCCAAGGTCAGCAGGTGGGTCCCCTCAGGGAAGATGTTGTGAGATGACCCACACAGGGAGCCACATGAAGGCCACGAGTGCGTCCACAGCACTGTCCTGACTCAGAGGCTCCATGGTTAGGCTTTGGGGGCAGCCTGACTGCTGGATTTAGATGAGGCTCTTAGCCTGGGCTGCCCTTCCAGTGTGACAGACAGCAGTTCCCTCCCTCAGGGAGTTCCTGCAAGCTTCTCTGTGTAGCTCCACCAGCAGCCGCCTCCCCTCAGCTTGAGGCAGAAAGCTCTCCCTACATCCTTTCCTCTGTCTGGGTGCCGGAGAGCAACACCTGCCCCACACAGGGCTCCTTTCACCACAAGAAAACAAGATCTCAGGAAGGAACCTGCTTCTGCTCAGGTACCTCACGAAAGGAAAGAATCAGACTGCGAGTGAACTTGTTAAAGGTGACATGAGAGCTTCTAAGCTTCCTGTGCTCATTTGCTCACACGCCTTAGCCTCACAGAGACTTCAAGAAATCTGAGGTGGTCAAGAACAGCCAGGAAAACAAAGCAGCACAGAAAGCCAAGGGAGAGACTGTGAGAACAGCTTAAGAAAAGATGTTTTTCATCCCAGAGTCTTGTGTCCTGTCAGGCAGACTACATTTTAAGAAAACACATTTTGGGGAGAAAACAAGCAAATACTGGTTTGTGTAGACTAAGAAACCAAAATGGCTGTGGCCTGCTGTGATGACCAAGTGGTCACCAGGCCAAGTTCATGTAAGACTTTCTTAAACGAGGCCCAGACAAGTCTCTCAGCCCAACAACAGCTGGAAGATGCAGAGCACACCTTAAGACACCCACTTGCCTGTGCTCACAGGAGTCAGCCCCAGAGGCTCCCCTGCCAAAATGGTGCAGCAGAGTGAGACTGAGTAGGAGCAGCACCCTCACAAGATCAGCAGGGCTCTTGGGGTGAGCAGGCCGCCCTGCTGCCTGACACAGGGGGAAGGGAAAGCATCGGTGCATCCTGCCACCCTCTCTGCCAGCCCCAGGAGGAGGCATGACTGGCAGGCGCACGCCCACCCGCAGTGCGAGTTCCCTTCCCATCAGGAGCCTCCAAAGTCAGCTGCTTTTGTTTGCAAAATGTTCTAGGGCCTCCTACCAGCTGGGGTGCACCTTGCCCAACCCCACCTCCTCAGCAGCAGGACCATCTGCTGGGAAGCCCTCCTGCCTGCTCCCCACACTCTGCCAGTCCCCTCATGGGCTGTATTATGGAGCACTTAGGAGGGGTCTAGGAGCACAGTCTCCGACTGGCTCCCTCCCAACTAGGCTGGAGCTCCAGAGAACGTGAGGACAGCTCCCCAAGGGTAGAACCACATTCTCAAGTTTCTGTTCCTGAAACAGCTCGACCAGAAAGCACAGCTGGAGAACTTGCTTGATGTCTGGACCCGGTGGAGTCCGCCTCCCTGGCTGCTCAATGCCTCGTGTGACTCAAGTGCTCCTTCAAAACAAAACAGCACGGGGCTCCAAACACGCCCCTCTCCTAACTTTAGGGAACTGCTTTCCTCTCTAATCAAAACGACCAAACAGCGGGGCGAGAAAGAGTTGACAGCAAAAGCTACAAGTCATTTATTTGCAACTGCCCGCCTGTGTCCACATGACCAGATCCTAGCGTCGAGCGCAGCGGCCGCAGCAGAAGCCCTGAGCTCCCGGCCGCGAGGCCGTGCGCCGGGCCGGGGACAGGTGGTCCCGAGCGCCCGGGTGGCGAGTCGCGTGCCGCGGCGGGCCGGGGCTGGGCTGCGCAGGGGCCGCACTGAGGGCGGCGCCGCTGCCGTGCCCGTGTCCTCGCGTTCCGTGCAGCGCGGCCAGCCGCGGCCTCGGACCCGGCCCGGACCCCCCTCCCGCGAGCTCTCGGAGGGCGCTCACGTGTGGCCGCAGCTGCCGATGGCCACCGGCCGGTGGTACACCTCCAGGCAGATGGGACAACTGTACTGCGCCTCCAGGCCGCTGTCGCCGCCCGCAGGCCCGGGCGGCGGCTGCCGCTGATGAGCCGAAGCCACCAGGCTGCGGAACATCGCCATCCCGGGCCAGGCCGCCGCCGCCGCCACCTGCCGCCGACCGCTGTCCAGGCCGGCCCGGCCCGCACGTCACAGCCGCGACGGCGCCGCACCCCCAACGCGTCACACCCGCGCCGACGTCTCGCTGACGCCACACGTGCTCGCCCCTGTAGCGTCACTGCCGCGCCGACGTCGTGCCGTCACCAAGACGCGCCCCGGCTCTGCCGTGGCAACTGCGGTGCTCCGCGTTCCGCCATGTGCCAGGTGGGCGAGGACTACGTGGAACCGCCGCCCCGGGAGCCCCCGCCGGTGCCCAGGCCCGGGTAGGAGCCCGCGGCGCCCTAAGCTGGGCGGGGCCTCGCTTCAGTCTGCCTCGCGCACTCGGGGCGATCCCGTTCTGTCTTTACTCTCCTGTCGCTGCCTCTGGGCCGCGCAGAAGTTGTCTGTCCTACAGAGATTTAGGGCCCCAGTGCACGAGAGCCCGCTTTTCCAGCCCGCACCCCGGCCCTTGTCTTGAAGTTGGCAGTTAGAGAAGGGCATGGGCCTTTCCTCCGGCTCAGCTCAGGGCGGGAAACAGGACCCAGTCTCTCCGAAGCCACCCGGGTTGGGAAAGCAGCCACCTGTGTTCTTACCCTCCTCTCCTGTCGTATGTCCAAAGCTGTGGGCAGAAGTGTGTGAAGTGCAAGCAGGGCGATCCGGTGGTGGTTATCCGAGCTGGAGATGCCTTTTGCAGGTGAGGCCCGGCAGCCCCTTTCCAGACGATATTTGGTTTTCAAAGGGCAGTTACTCTAGTATGAGCTCCTGATGTTGCTCCCACCACCCTATTTCGGAAAGGGAGGTGGGAAGTTAAGAGTCTCCATGATCCATTCAAGAACAGCGAGGTCTCCGGGGGAGTTTGTGGGCAGAGATGGAAGTGGGGTGGGGCGTCCAAGTTGGGAAAAATGCGCGCGGGGAGGGTATTTGGGGGCAGCTGTGATGATATTCTTTTTATTTTTTTTCTTCCGTACCGGGGATCGAACTCGGGTCCCAGCGCTTGCGAGGCAGGCGACAGAACCACTGACTTAAATCCCCAGCCCCTGATAGTCTATTTTATCTGTAATTCTTGTGACCCATGCCATCTTTTCTTTGCATAGTAACTTTTTGTGTGTGTATGTCTGGCAGTGGGCATTGAACCCAGAGTCTTTAAGCTGAGCTACATCCACCACTCCTCCTTAATAATTTTTTTAAAATTTTGAGACAGGATCTCCCCTAAGTTGGAAGTTGCCCAGGTTGATCTCGAACTTGCAGTCCTTTTGCCTTTTTCTCTCTAGTAGCTGGGATTACAGGCATACACCAGCACACCCAGCTGCGTTATGACCATTTTAATGTTTGGCCTTTTTCGCTAGATTTGTAGCTCCCTGAGGGGGGGTCTCCTGTTTTAGTTCTCTAGTGGGTAGTATGTTTGCTGAATGGTAGCCTCACATTTTTAAGTTGGTCCCCAGGAATCTTGGATTCTGCTTTCTAAAACATTCTTTAAATTAAAAAAAAAGACCCTGGGAAATTGAAGAAATTGTTATCCAGCTGGGAGTTCTGAATCTGTGGTTTCAGGAGGACCCCAGGCCTCAGTGTTGGCTTGAGCTTCCTAGCTTCTCTGCCCAGGTGGCTGGCACACTGGTCTCTGGTGGGCAGGTCTGGAGGCCGAGCTCTGCAGCCTGCTTAGCATTTCCTCCTTCACCAGAGGGTGGTGGTGCTGCCTGGCATGGGGCAAGGATGGCCTGAAGTCAGCAGTCAGCACCTTTCTTTTTTTGGTACTGGGAACGAACTCAGGACCTTCCTCTTGCGAGGCGGGTGTGGTGCCGCTGAACTAAATCCCCAGCCCAATCAGCACCTTTCTTAACAGGCATCAGGGCTTCACCTTACCCGTAGCAACTGCAGGATGTGAGATGTAGCTCCCATGCCCTTTGTGATCACAGCTGGTAGGGCTTCGGGGGACCCTGAGAGCTGTGAGGCTCCCAGGGCACCTGATCCCCCAGTTTGGCAGAGCCTCTGCAGACAACCCAGCCTGGCATTTGTGTTGCAGGGACTGTTTCAAGGCCTTCTATGTCCACAAGTTCAGAGCCATGCTAGGGAAGAACCGGCTCATCTTTCCTGGTGAGAAGGTAGCTGTGGGGGGTTGGCTCTCTTCCGTCTGCCCCTCCCACACCCAGCCTGCCACCCCTGCACTCACTCTGGGTGAACTGGGTATCTCAGTTGTCCACGTGGGAGGACATGTTTCCATTGAAGGCGAGTGTTACTTGTTGGTGTTTCTTCTCCCCAAGGTGCTCTTGGCGTGGTCTGGTGGTCCCTCATCCAGCTCCATGGTCTGGCAGGTCCTTGAGGTGCGTCCACACCACCCCCAGGTAGTGGCTGCTGGGCAGAGCTAGGGTGGGGCTCCCTTCTCAGCACACTTCCCACAGGGACACCCGGAGGGCTCTCAGAACACAGGTCTCTAAGCCAGCAGCCACATCAGGGTGCCAGCTGTGCCCAGGTCAGCTCTGTCCAGTTCTCCACACTCCAGAGCTCAGTCTCATGCCTTGGCCAGGTGTGACTTGTGGGGACTGACAGGGAGGGCAGCACATTCAGGGAGGGGGCTGGATTGAGGCAGATGCTCAAGCTGCAAAACCAGGAGCTGCTGGGACATGTGGGGTTTCCCTGAGGAATTGGGAACTCCAGGGATCTTGGGACAGGGTGGGGAGAGGCCATTTAGGCTCCCTGCACACTTGCTATGAGGCTGTGAGGGTGCAGAATGGGGGGTGGGGGGGCTGTCCTAGGGTCGGCACCCTGCATGGTACTTCTGAGCCGGCCTTGCTCATGAGGTCTGTCTGGCTGGAGTTTGAATGGCTTTGTCCAATGAAAGGGGAGGGTCGTGTTCCTGGCTGGTTTTCTCCCAAAGGTGGTGCCCTAAACCTGCCCACATGCCGGATGAGGCCCAGCCCACGCCACATACTACCTCTTCACCCCTGGCACAACTCCTCTGCTCTTCAGAGTGGTGCCCAGCAGGTGGCACTGTGGCCCCATTGCTTGTCCCAGGCTGCTGGGGTGTCAGGGATGGACTCCAGGTGTGGGTTCTCAGGTTCTGCAGTGGGGAGGCTGCTTTCCTGGCAGGAGAGGAGACCATCAGAGTTGGGTCTCTGGGCCTTACCACAGAATGCCTGGCCCCTGAGTCAGAATGGCCCTGTCTACTTCGAGGGAAGGTTGGCTCCCTCCTTCCTGGGACTGACGTCCAGAGACATGGCCTGCTGAGAAGCACCCTGTGGCTCATAGCCAGGGTCCGAGTCCCTGATGTGTACCCCTCCAGGGCCTGAGTCAGGACTCTGCTAAGAGGCTGCGCTTCGTGCCAGGAGTCGTCTATGTGGATGGTACGTGTGGCGCCCCTCCTCCTGGCTCTGGTCACTTGAGGTGGGCCCCTGAGCCTCCTGGGTAGAGGTTTGTCCAGGACTGGTGTTGTCCCCACACTGAGGCCCTGCTGGTGACGTTTCTGAGGGAGCCAGCATGTGTTCCAGCTTCAAGTGACTGCGGGGGCTGGGAGTGCCTGTCCCACCTGGCCCTGCCATCAGGTCCAGGACAGAAGAGGGCTGGTAACCAACATGGGGTGGGGGTGGCATTGTAGCCACTAGGGCCACCACCGATGGCATGTGTGGTGCAGCAGACACGCAGAGCTCTGTCAGCACATGAGCCAGGTCACCCCAGCAGCCGAGCGTCAGATAACAGTTGTTTTTTCTAAATTAAAACCTCAGTATTCGGGTTTAATTGCAGTTTTGGCACTTTGTGATAAATAAGTGGATTTTGGGTTGCAGTCTGGCCACTGTGTCTCTAAGAGGTTTGCCATTCTTGCATTAGGGGGAACCTGTTTCCCAAATCAAAACAGCCCCTCCTCAATTGTCTGCACTAGCCTTTTGTGGTCCTGGGGATTGAACGAACCCAGGACCTTTTATTGAGCTACATCTCTAGCTCTTTTTAAAATGTTTTCCTTTTGAAGCAGGCTCTCACTAAGTTGCTAAGCTGGGCTAGGCCGGAACTTGTGATCCTCCTGCCTCAGCCTCCTAGAGTGCTGGGGTTACAGGTGTGGACCACCCTGGCCAGGTCTCATCTTCCAGTAACCACTGCCCTGCAGAGCCCCTCAGCCACTACACCTGGCCGGAGCCCTGACTCTCCTTCCTGCCTGGCTTTGCAGAGGGTGCAGCCTGCGGCCAGAGCCCAGAGGACAGAGCAAAGACCCTGGCTGAGGTGAAGCAGGTTTTGCACGTCGTCAACTTCCCGTGGCACCTGGTGGCCCTGGAAGAGGTGGGTGGCCTGCGCCAGGCACAGGGGCTACCCAGGAGGTGACCTGGGGGTCCCCGGGGCTCGGCCTGGGCCTTACTGCCTGCCTGTGTCCTGGAAGGTGTTCAGCCTGCCACCGTCGGTGCTGCGGTGCTGTCCCCAGGAGCCAGCTGGGACGGAGGGTGCCTACAAGTCCGCCGTGGACAGCTTTCTCCAGCAGTACCACGTGCTGGGGGCCGAGGGGGCTGAGGACAGCTGCGGCCGGGCTCGGGGGGAGGAGGAGCGGCCCTGGCCCCAGAGCCAGGACCCCCACAGCCTCCCGAGCCCAGCTGGGCCCCCCTCTGCCGCCCAGACCGAGGCCCTGTGTAGACTGTTTGAGTCTGTGAGGACGCTGACGGCCAAGGAGGAGCTTCTGCAGACCCTGCGGTGAGCCTGGGCCTGCACCCTGGCCCCTACCCCGGCCCAGGCCCAGGCGGCCTCTGTAACGTGGCCTCTGCACCCCAGGAGCCACCTGATCCTGCACGTGGCTCGAGCCCACGGCTACTCCAAGGTGATGACCGGGGACAGCTGCACCCGCCTGGCCATCAAGCTCATGACCAACCTGGCCCTGGGCCGAGGAGCCTTCCTCGCCTGGGACACGGTACGCGGGGCCCCTCCCCATCTGCCTCCTTCACCTGAAAGCAGCAGCTATGGGTCATCCGGGGGTCTCCCGCCGTGTGGCAAGGGGCCCGGACCAGCCCCAGCTAGGGGCGTGGCTGGGACCTCGCCAAACTGCCCCATCCTCCAGGGCTTCTCGGACGAGCGACACGGGGATGTGGTGGTGGTGCGGCCCATGAGGGACCACACTCTGAAGGAGGTGGCCTTCTACAACCGTCTGTTTGCTGTTCCCTTAGTCTTCACACCGGCTGTGGACACTAAGGTGAGGCCCGGGGTAGGTGAACGGGTCGGGGAGGGGGGGGCGGCTCTTCCATACAGTCAGGGGGCTGTGCTGGCCCTTCCCTGGGCTGACCTCAGGCCCGGCACCTGCTGTTCACCACTCGTGCTAGCAGCAGGGTCCCCTTGGGTCCTCTGAGGACACCCTTTGCCTCGGAGGGACAGGCTGACCCTTGCTGGCACACTGGCTGCTGTGGGAAGCCAGGCACCCACTCTGGGAGCTGCCTCTGCACTGGGCCCGCCGACAGCCCCTTGTCCCTAGGCCCCCGAGAAAGCCAGCGTCCACCGGCTGATGGAGGCCTTCATCCTCAGGCTGCAGGCCCAGTTCCCCTCCACGGTCAGCACTGTGTACAGGTGTGTGTGGGCACTCAGGGGCCAGGAAGGAGCAGGGCCCGGCTGGGGGCGCCCCGTGACCTGTACCTCCTGCCCTCAGGACAGGAGAGAAGCTGGTCAAGGCGCCCAGGGACGGCTGTGGTGGGGGGCCCTCAGGCCCTCGGTGCCTCCTCTGCCTGTGCACACTGGACATCGACACTGCTGGTTCGCATTGGACCTCCTTGGGGTGCAGGGGTGGGTGTTGGGGTCCAGTAGCCCGAGGGTCCCCTCAATCCCTCTCTGCTTGCAGACAGTGCCACGGCTTTTGGGGCTCAGACCTCGAGTCTCTCCCAGATGCCGCCGTCCACCCTTCAGGCTGAGGCTGGGACGCCCACAGCACCCTGCTGCGCTGTAGGCGAGGGCCCTGGCTGTTGCTGGAAGGCCCGTGGGAGGTGAGTCCCTGCCGGGGACAGGAGCGGCTTGGGGCAGGGCCCGGAGCGCAGGCACCCAAGTCCAGCTCTGTCTCCCAGGACGGACGATGCCCAGGCGCAGGTCACCCAGCAGCTGTGCTACGGCTGCAGGGGGAACATGAGCGACCTCGTGAGTGTGGCTGCCCCTCCCCTCCCGGTGGCAGCGGGGTTCGGTGCTTGGGCTCTGCCACCCCTCACCCAGCTGGCTTCTGTTGCAGCCCTCCCTGGACCGCTTGCCGCCCTACATCCTGGCCGAGGCCCAGCTCCGCAGCCAGAGGTACTGGGCCTGTCTGGTGGGGTCCCAGGTGGGAGCCCCTGGGCTGGTTCCCACCCACTCTTCCCACAGGGCCGGGGTCATGCAGGAGATCCAGGAGTATCTGATTGAGGACAGCAGTGACGAGGCAGAGGGCCCGCAGAGCTGAGCCCGGGACGTGGCCTGTGTGGGCAGCTCTCGCCCGGGGCTGGAAGGCAAGGATACAGGGCTGGCTGGGGCTTGTCCGTTTGCATAAATAAAAAGGTTTTAATTAGAAAACTCTACAGTACATGTGAGGCGGGGCAGGTCCAGGCCCAGTTTGGCTGCACTGGGCACGTAAGGGCCAAGGGGCACAGTGTCCTTCTGACAGCAGCATGCAGGTTCCGGGGGGCCGGGGGGCCCGTGGCAGCTGTGCCCTGGCCCAAGGAGTGCCACCCCTGCACTCATGGCCCCGCGGCCCACAGGCAGCCCCTTCGTTCCCGGCGCCAGGGAGCCAGGCCCCTCCTACTCCTTCTCACGCGTCCACTTGATCATGGTCTCTGGTGAGCGGTACAGGAAGATGAGCTTGGCGTACAGCTCCTCCTCTAGCCCCAGCTCCTGCGTCTCCCGCACCAGGAAGATGTCCTGGCACAGCTTGAGGATGCGGTCCACGCAGGGCAGCTCCTCGAACATGATGGAGTGCGAGATCTCGCTGAAGAAGCCGCGCACGAACTTGCCGATGACCAGCACGATGGACACGTACAGCCCCATGATGCTGCAAAGGGGCGGGTGGGTGAGGCCAGGCGTGCCTGGGCCCCTGTGCGCAGGGCATCCCCCAGCCCCACACTCACCCGTAGCCGGCCAGGAAGCCCAGGCTGGGTGGGCTGACCTTGTCGCTGAAGATGACCATGGGCAGCAGGTTGCAGTTAGCGCGGCAGTCCTGCAGCTCGATGACCCACCACTCCAGGAAACCCGCAGCCCCCGAGCCCACCTGCTCCCTCCGCAGCTGGATGCGCACGCCGAGGTAGTCAGCCTCCTCATCTGGGGCGGAGCCAGGGGAGTCAGAGGCCCGACCGCCTCCCAGCCCCCAGCCCCAAGCCACATCGTGGCCCCCAGCCCCACACACTCACTGGGCTGTAGCTGCTTCACAGGGCTGGCCTCAGGCCCATTGGGGGCGCGGATATACTTGGGGAAGAGGTGGGGGATGGTGCTGTGGGGAGGGTGGGCAGGTCAGGTCTGGCCTAGCCCCCCGCCTGGTGCGCCCCACCTGCCGCCCCGCCCCACCCCGCCCCGCTCACACAGACTGGTCCGAGGTGCCCTCCAGCAGGCGGGCCAGCTGCCGCCGCGCTGTGCTATTGGGGGCGAGCTCCAGCGTGTGCTTCTCGTTGGTGTACTCCACGGTGCTGCCCTTGGCCAGGTCCCTGCAGGCGGGGGGCAGTGGAGGTGGGCAGAGCGTGACCCACCATGGGGCCTGGCCCGTCCCCCGGGCCGCCGTGCAGGGGACTTACCTCTGGAAGTTCCAGGTGAAGCGCAGAGTGATGTCCGCCGTGCCGTTGTACAGCTCCCGCTTCATCTGCGCCCGGCTCGGGGGGCTGATGCGCCACAGCGCCCCGGAGCTGCCCTCGATTTGCGCGGTGACGATGTCCTCAGGGCTGTACTGGCTGATGAACTGCATGGCCAGCTGGGGTGGGGGCGATGGGCCTCAGTGGGGAGCTGGCCCCCCGGCCCAGCCGTTGCCCCACCAGGGGACACGGAGGGGTCCACTCACCGGGTGGGTGTCGAACTGCCGGGACAGCTCCTCGTAGGCCTCGGGCGTGCAGGGCTCGATGGACGGCTGCTGGGCGCTCATGGTGAACAGGGGCTGGGGTCGGGACGCTGTGAGCGGCTGGCCTGGAGCCTGCGCCCCACGCCCGCCTCCCCGTGGGAAACAGGTGGGCAGGGCCACTCACCTCGTAGCCACCCAGTTTGAGGGTGACAGTGACATCGATGGGCTGGTTGACAACGCCAACCACGGAGCGCACCAGGGACATGAAGAGCAGCGGGAACCAGATGATGGCAATGAGGAAGAGGATGATGAGGCCGCCCATGCCGTACTTGACAATCTTCTTCTTCTTCTGGCCCTTGGGCTGCGGGTATTTCTGGGGAGCGAGGCCTGGTCAGCGACCTGGCCCTCAGACAGCATCTGTGCCTTGGCCCCACCAAGCACACAGCTGTGCTGCGGCCGCCGTCACCCCTCGAGGGGGAATGCCAGGGCTGACCCTCATCCAGGGCCAGCTGGCTCTCAAGCTGCCACTAGCCAGCGGGACACCCTTTCAGCAGCCGGCGCTGGGCTGTGCCCCTGAGGGAAAGCGGTCGGAAGCTGAGCTGCATCTTCCAGAGAGGACTTCTTGAGAAGACAATAAAAATGGGCCCAAGCCCGAGACTGAAGCAACCGGGAGACACCGAAGACTCAGCCCGCAGCAGAGTGCTTAGGGGCCTGAGCAGATGGTTCCCTGGAGGACCCGTGGCTTCCCGGGAGCACCCATAGGAGCAAGCGCTCACTTCAGCGCCAGCTGCTGGGGCACCTGGCCCAGGATGGCAGAGTTGCTGGCAAGAACGTAAGAGGGCAGAGCTGTGTGTGCCCAGCTGCATGAGAGGCTGAAGCAGGAGGATTACAAGCTCAAGGCCAGCCAGCCTCAGCAGCTTAGCAAGACCCTGCCTGCCTCAAAGGGGGAGTGGGGCTGGGGCCGTAGCTCAGCGCCCCTGGGTTCAGGCCCCAGTACAGCCAGTAAACAGTGGTGTGAGCCGTGGGGCCACAGCCATTCCCTCCCGGGGACATGTCGGGGATGGAACATCCAGACATCTCTGCTGCTGTGCGGGCCAGGGACACAGAAGCAGCCCAGCAGCAGAGGGGCGGCCCAGTGCCGCGGGCTTCTGCACACAGCGGCATCGTTTGGCCGGACAGCAGTGATGCTGGCAGCTGGGGTGTGGGGAGCAGTCAGAGCACAGACAGCGTGACTCCGCCCTGTCCCCTGACACATCTGACGGGCAAACCAGAGGCTAGAGATGGCCCCGGCAGTCAGGGAGAGGGAGTGGCCCAGTTGATTGTAATGATGGCCACACTGAAAGCCACTCAGTCGTGCACTGCATACGGGTGAGTCACATTAAAGGAGAAAAACAGCTGACAGCGTCCGTGTCTCCTTTCCCCTCCCACTCGCCACAGTGGGCCACACCCACCATCCCCTTCTGTGGCCTCCTGTCCAGTGGGCCCCTGGGGAGGCGGCACCCTCCCCCTGGCCAGGCACCTTCTCTGTCTCGCGGCTGCACTTGATGATGAAGATGTTGGCGTAGATGTCCTCCACACACATCCAGTTGGACAGGGACAGGGTGGTGTCTGTCCACACCCAGTCCATGACGGCCCGCAGCTCCACCAAGAAGGGCACCAGCCGGAACCTGCAAAGCCAGGATGGTCAGGGGCTGACTCCACTGCAGTGGGCCCGCGGAGGCCCCCGGGCAGACCACGCTCACCCCTGGAAGAGGAAGAGGTTCAGGTGGTTGTACTTCTTGGTGAGGAAGTTGCCGAGGATGCGTGTCGGGTAGCCGCAGCGGATCTGGTAGGCGGACAGGGCGAAGTAGATGCACTTCACGAAGTACCACAGCTGGGCCACCGCATTCTGGCTGAACATCCTGGGGCGGATGGCAGGTGGGGACCTTGTCAGCGACAGTGCCAGCCTGGACCCCAGCTCTGCCACTCACGGAGGGCGCATGCCCACCTCTCAGTGACGGCTGGCAGGATGAAGAACATCCAGAGGTGGATGGCCAGCACCAGCACCACCTGGAAGGCCAGCTTGCCCACCACGGTCTTGCGCAGGTAGAGGGCGCGGTCCACCACCATGGTGCCGAACTGGATCAGCAGCATGACCAGGAAGGCCTCCGGCACCTGGTCGTCTGACAAGGAGGATGTGATGTCCGTGGCCGCCGAGTGCTTCTGGAGCCAGAGAGCACAGGTGAGGGGCGGGGCTGGGCCCAGTGGTCACCGGGCTGTCCACGCTACAGAGCCCCAGCCTGGCTCACCCCAAAGGCCCAGAAGCCAAAGATGATGATGATGAAGTCGACAACGTCAGCCAGGAACATGAGTGCGTAGACGTCGGTGGCCGCCCGGTACTTGGTGTGCAGAATATCATGGAAGAAGTGCCGCAGGGGCTGGTAAATGCTTTGGGCCCTGTGGGTGTCCAGGCGGGCAGGCTCACTGGGTGCCTGGCCTTGGGGCCTGCCTCCTTGCCCGCAGCCATGGCCACCCCCAGGCCCTGTCACTCACAGCGACAGGCAGAAGCCCTGAAGCTGGCGCCCTGCTGCCTTCATCTGTTCTCGACAACGGCTCGGCCTCTTTCTCCCGGCTGCCTGTCTTTCCTCCCTGTCCCCAGCTCCTGTGGGGAGAAACTGCCGACTGAGCCCACCTGGGTCTGGCTGCTCACCATCTCGGGGCCAGCATGGTGCCCACTGGCCTCTCCCTCCGGCTCTCCTAGCAGGGAAGACAGGCGGATCCTGCAGCCAGGGTGAAGTCACTGGTGGCCCACCCTGCCCCCAGGAGCCAGGAGCTCACAGCCAAGTGCTGCCCTGGGTTCCAGGGAGTCCCGAGCCTGCCCAGCCGTCACCCTACCCCTGGCCCTCTGCCTCCCAGGAACATGGCCCGAGTCTGCGGTTGTGAGAGAGCTGCCTTACCGTGGGCTACTGCCCCCGTGGGTCCTGGACACTCCCTCTTCCTCCTAAAACGCAGGCTGATGCGCCTCGTGTCCTGGGGCTCAAGGTCCACTTGGGCCTCTGGGGCCCCGTGCCCGGACCCGACCCTCACATCCTCCTGGACACGGTCCTGGGTGGTGGCCCTGGTCTCGCCTGGCCCCTCCTGCTGCCCTGTGTCTGCCTCGGTCTGATCCTCAGCGCCCAGGTCCTTCCCTTCACTGGTCCCTCGCTGCTCCTTGGAGAGCTGGTCCTCCTCGTGGTCCCAGAGGCCGTAGCACTGCAGGAGGGCAGGGAGCAGTGAGGCGGCCACACCCGCCCAGGGCCGGGGCCCAGTCTCCCCGTGCCGCGCGGCGCGGTGCTCACCAGCAACTGGGAGCGGTGGAAGAAGAGCGCCAGGAGCTGCACCAGGTCGTACTTGATGTAGCCGTCAGTCTTCTCCAGGCCCAGGATGCGCGGTGGGAAGTAGGGCTTGTTCTCGTGGCGCCGCAGCACCGCGTGGCTGTTCCAGGGGAAGAAGCCGAACTGGAACAGGTACTTGGTGACCACGGTGACCTGCAGGGGAGGCTGGTGATCACTGAGGCCTGTGGGGGCCATTGGCACAGGCCAGGCTCAGCCCAGCCAGGCCGCCCTCACCCACCTCTGTGAAGACGATGGCCGTCATCCAGAAGCGCTTGCTGGGCCTGGGGATGGACAGCATGGCCCACAGGAAGACAAGCACTGGCAGCACCAGCGAGGCGGCCGAGGCGGTGGCCACATGGTTGAGGATGATGATGAAGTAGCAGAGCAGCTCCGAGTGGGCCGCCACACTCTGGTACATGGCTCGCAGAAGCCGCAGCATCCGGCCCTGCTGCGCCACAAAGTTCTCGGCGTCCTCCAGCTCCTGGATGTGCAGGCGCCTGCAGGACACCGGGTGGGATGTGCAGCCCGCCTGCCACCGTGGTCAAGGCAGGCTGCACCAGGTGCCCGCCCTGCCCGGCCCACATTGCACCTGTGGCTCAGCAGCTCGCTGGCCGTGCGCATCCTCCTCCGGGCCGGAAGCTCCTGCGAGCCGAGCAGGGATGCCTTGGCCTCGAGGTCCCCAGTCTCCATGACGATCTCCTCGCTGCCGCTTTGGGTGTTGTAGCCCGTGCTCAGGGGGCTGCTGGTGTCATCCGTCACGCTGCTCAGGGGCTCCTCGGCCCCCAGCCCACTGAGGGAGGGAAGCGAGTCAGAGATGGCCAGCCCTGGCCTCCGTGGAAGGGTGGAGGACAGAGGTGTCCCTGAGGGGACAGTGAGGGGCAGGATGGCAGACAGTGCCGCACTGGACTGTGGCCCCAGGGGCTCAGGGATCACAGGCAGGAGGGCCCTGCACCTGCCTGGACACAGTGCTGGGTCTGTCGCCGAGCTCCGGGGAACCCGGCAGTGCGGCTGCGGCCTCATCGTCATACAGCTGGTCCAGCACGCTGCGGTGCACCTCCCCGCCCTGCGGGACACAGCAGGCTCTCAGCACCGAGGCAGGGCGGCTCTGCCCGCTGCCCACGGGGAGCACCGCTCGTGTTCCTGCCTGGGGCAGGCATGGGTTCGGGCCAGCTCACCCGCAGCAGCTCCTGCGTGAGCAGGTAGCGCTCCGCACGCAGCACGTCACTCATGTTGCGGTGATGCCGCGTGAAGGTCAGCAGCCAGCTCGTCAGCCCATCCACCGAGGCCTGGCCCAGCACCCAGAGGAACTGCACGGTGCTCAGCACGCGCTGCATCATGTGGCTGTGGCCTGCGGGACAGAAGGTCTGGAGGGGCGGCCCCAGGACAGCCCCACCCGCAGCCGCCTGAGCCCCAGCCCACGCACCTGCCACCTCATCCTCATCTTCCGTGGCCGCCCCTGCCTCCACTTCCTGGCTCGGGCCTCCTCCTGGTTACAGTGGACGAGTCAGGGCCTCCTAGCCCTGTGGCCCTGCACCCCCCAGCTCATGGGGCACAACTCACCGGCGGACAGCTGTCCTGCCCCCTCCTGCTGTGCCCGCGCCCGTTCCTGCTCCCGCCGCTGCCTCAGCACCATCTGGGCATCCGTCACCCACGCCTGGTAAGCCATCTGCCGGCCAAGCATCAGGCTTAGGATCCGGCCTCCGACTGAGGGGTCCACGTGAGCCCTGGGCCAACCGGTCCCCTCCGAGGAAGGGGAAGAACCTGGGACTGCCTGGTCCTGGCGCTACACTGGCTGCCTGTGTCGAGCTGGGGACCCTGCCTCCTCTGGACTGGGCCCCAGGGGCTGTGGCAGAAGGACACAGTGCACACGTCCCACCCGTGTGTCCTTGTCACTCAGCACCAGGACTCTGAAGGTGGACAAGCAGGCCCCCCTGGTCCCAGAACAGATGTGTCCAGCAAACACAGGGAGCCTGGCAAGTCTGAGCCAGGACCTCTGGAGGTGGCCACACAGCCCACTGGTGTCCACAGCCTGGCTTCACATGCGCCTGCGGTTGGAATGCAGCTGGGTGGACCCAAGGCCCGGAGCTGCACAGGCCTCACCTGGAAGGCGCTCTGTGCCAACGGTCTGGAGTCCTCGGGCATGGCTTCTTCCTCCTCTTCACTGTCAGACTCAAAGAGGAAGTAGTCCCCGGAGTGAATGACTGCAGACAGGGTGGGGGTGAGCCCGCTGCTCCCAGCGAGCCCCTCGCACCTCAGAACCTCCCTCAGCCTCCTGCCACCCCTGTGGCCTGGCCTTCCCTTCCCATGGGACCATGTGCGCAGGGCTCAGCAGGCTGGGAGCAGCAGTGCATGCACAGGACACAGGCCAGAGCAGTAGGAGACCAGACTGGACAAGGAGGCAGCGAGCAGTGGGGCGGGGGTGCAGAGTGTGAGGGTATCCAGGCAGGGTACCTGTGGCATGGTCCAGCCAGGGCCGCCACCACTGTCTTTGTGGCGGGGAGGAGACCCCCGGGCTGCTGGGGCCTGTGGAGGGGTGGGTGCGTGAGGCAGCTGGGAGGAGGAGCCCAAGGAGGGCACAGGGAACAAGGCCACACAACAGAGACGGAGAGACAGGGCCTGCGGTGGCAGGCGCCACGTGCTGCCACAGGGCTCCGCCTTGGAGGGACAGGGCAGGGGCCCACATGTGCAGACGGACGGACAGCCAGCCGGGAGTGAGGGTACTGTCACATGGCAGGGGGCACATGGGCGGGAGCCCTGGGGGCATCCTGCGGCACGCTGCAGGCAGCCTTCTGCAGCACAGATGTGCTGGACGCCGGGCTCAGCCACGCTCACCTGGCTCCTGGTTGGGGTCCTCGGGGCCCAGGGCCTGGGGGTGGCTGCAGCTGGCACGACTCTGCCTGTGCTTCTCCTGCTTGGCACGGATTCGCATCATCCTGCAGGTGGCAGGAGGGGACTCAGTGCCAGGCCGACCCACAGAGCAGCCAGTGCTCTGCCCGGCACCTACTGTCTCTTTAGCTGTGCCAGCGACTTCTCCTCTGCCTTGCGGTGGGCTTCGATGCTCTTGAGACTGGCCGCGTTGTAGAGTGCGAAGCCCCTGGGGAACCATGGGGCCGGGGTATAGCTCCAGCTGCACAGGCTCAGCTGGCCCTGCTCCCCCTCGCTTGCTCGGAGGACCCCTTGGCATCTACCGGGGCATCTGCACCCAGGCCCCCGTGCTGTGTGGGGTGACTTCAGTCCCACGGGCCAAGAGGTGAGGCATACCGCCTGCTCCACAGCCCCGGCTCCAAGCTGAGCTTCAGGGGGCTGAAGACCTGTGTCGCCACCCTCTGGCTGGGCCTCGTGTCCCTCCCGAGCATGGGTCCCAGGGCCAGCCCCCCATGGGGTGACGCGCAGAGCAGAAGTGCCCTCCTGCCAAGCCCGGCGGCGGACCTGGAGGCCTGCAGGGCTGTGGCCCGCAGCTCAGCGCCAACGTGCAGGAAGTAGGGGCTGAGGAAGATGCGTCGCTGCAGCAGCAGAAAGAAGAAGCAGGCGCTGTCCCAGATGATGCCGGCCTCCTCCACAGGCAGCCGGCAGTCCTGGTCCTTGGTCACCATCGCCTTGGCTGTGGGACAGGACCCCCGGGGTCAGAGCCAGAGCGGGGCCGTCCCTGTGCACCCGGCCACCAGCCTCGCCCACTCACGATCATAGTAACCCTTGACTGTGCACACGAGGCTGAAGAGCTGGATGACCCAGCAGAAGCTGGTCTGCATTTGCTCCACAAAGACACAGGACAGGAGCTGGGGGAGGATGAGGGTCAGGGGGCCGCCAGGGCGGGTGGCGGGCGGTGGGCGGCGGAGAGGCCAGGCTGTCTCACCGAGAGCATGTTCTTGGAGACGATAACTGTGACATTGTAGAGGATGAGGCAGTCCCACAGCACAAGGCGGGCCCGCGTGTCCTTCTGCAGCAGCGCCGTACCGAAGAGCAGCAGGTAGAAGCAGGCCAACAGATAGCCCAGCCCGAAGACACTGATGCGGGTGGCACCGGTGACGAACACCACCACCAGCACCAGCCAGAACAGGTAGCGGAACACAGCCACCTTCAGCATATCCAGGTAGGACCTGTGGGGCGGTGGGTGGCAGGAGGGGTGTCACTGGGGTGTGGTCACCGTGCAGAGGCCCCCGGGGGAGGTGCGGGGCCCACCTGCAGTGGATGAAGTTGGGCACGGGGTTGGGCTCGCCCCGCGGCAGCTCCAGGACGTCGGTGTTGACGCCGGCCATCCACTGCCACTCCTCGTTGTGCTCGGCCGAGAACACCTGCCACTGCTGGGAGGCGCAGAGCAGCAGCAGGAAGTCACCTGCGGGCACAGGGCAGGCGGGGCGCTACTGCGACTGCCCGCCTCAGACCAGAGCACACGGCCAGGGGCGGCCGTGCCTGCTGGCACCGAGGACACGCATCTGTGCTGTCCCGTCCCGCACACCAGGGGCCATTGGCATGTCCAAGTGTGTGACGGATGTGCGCGTCCCTGACACAGCCCTTGTGCCTCAGGTTGGGCCCCTCAGCCCCATCCGATGTGCCTGAGTGGTCCACTCACGGGAGGATCCCCAGCCCCCCGCTGGCTTGAGACAAGGGTCCCCCAGGGCGGCACTCACTGATGAGGTTGGTGGAGTTCGGGGCCCTGAAGAAGTCCGGCAGGTAGAGCCACTTGATAAGGGCAGAGTTCATGGGGATGGCCCGGCTCCAGCGCCATGGGTAGTCTGTGGGGCAGGGCTGTGTCAGGAAGGGCCACACTGCCTGGGCCCAAGACATCCCTGTCTGCCAAGCAGCAGCCCCAGAGGCCCTCGGTTCCCCCATAGAATTGTCCCTCACAGCCCCAGTCACACATTTGCTCCGGAGGGAGTTCCCAGGGCTGCCAGCCACACGTGATTCGGAAGTGGACATGTGCACCAGGCTCGGGTGCAGGCAGCAGAGGAGCCCAGCGTGGGCCAGAGCAGGGGACGGGGGGCCCAGGAGATGCATTCGGATGAGCTGTGCTTCACTCACGATAACGTGATGATAAAATGAGCCCAAAGCTACAGTGATAGAAACAGCGTGGTACTGGCAAAGGAACAGACCCGAGGATCAGTGGGACAGACTAGAGGGGGCACAAACAACTCCAGGCATGCGCGGCCGCTTCATCTTTGACAAAGGAGCCAGCCACCCTCACCGGAAGAAAGACGGCCTCTTTAATAAATGGTGCTGGAAAAAGTGGCTTTCCACATGCCAGAGATCGAAACTAGAGCCATCTCTCTCACCATGCACTAACCTAAAATCAAAATGGATCAAAAGATCTAAATATTAAAATAGAAACATTAAATCTGCTGGAAGAGAGAATAGGTAGAAACTTGAGGACATAGAAGTAGGCAAAGGCTTCATGAATAAAACCTGAAAGGCATGACTTCGTGAATAAAACTCGGACTGCACGGGAAATGCTACAAAGAATCAACAACTGGGACCTCATCTTATTAAAAAGCTTTTGCACAGCAAGAGAAACCACCAACAGAGTGAAGAGACAACCCACAGGGTGGGAAAAACTTTTTACTAGTTACTCAGATAAAGGAGTGTTATCTAGACTACATAAAGAACTCAAAAACATCAGAACCCCCCCCAAATTTAAAGACCCAATGCAAAAATGGGCATCTGAAAAGACACTTCTCAGATGAAGATTAGAAACATCAAACAAATATATGAAAAGGTGTTCAACATCACTGATCATTCAAGAGATGCAAATTAAAACAACACAGATTCCATCTCACTCTAGAAAGAATGGCTGCTGTCAAGAAATCAACCAGTAACAAAGGCTGGAGGGGCTGTGGGGAGAAAGCAACCCTGCTCCACTGCTGGTGGGAGTGCAGACTGGTGCAGCCACTGTGGAAATCAGCAGGGAGATTTCTCGAGAAATTAAAACTAGAGGTTCCATTTGACCCAGCTTCATGGTATCTTCCCAAAAGAATTAAAAGCATCATACCACGGCGATATACGCACAGCCATGTTTACAGCAGCACAGTTTGTAATAGCTAAATCTTGGAAACAGCCCAAATGCCCATCAACCGACCAGTGGATAAAGATGTGCGGTTTTTTTATACAATGGAGCACTACTCTGTCATAAAGAAGGATGAGCTTCAGACATTTATAACTAAATGGATGGACCTTGAGACCATACTCTTAAGTGAAATACATCAGACACACGTGTAAATACTGCATGGTTCCTCTGGTGTGAGAAACTGAAAGTGGAAATAAGGACTGAGATGTACAATGGATGCTGGGAAATGGGAAGAAAGTGTTCAAATGGGAAGGGAAATGAGGGAGGAGGGAGGGGGAAAGGAAGGGACAAGAAAAAAAGTGAAAACAGAAGGAAAAATAGAAACAAAGTTTCTGTACATAGGGAGGGAGGGGGCTTCAGGGGGAAGAATAGGATAAAATAAAATTTATTTAAAAAAAAATTTTTTTTTTGGTACCAGGGATCGAACTTGGGTCCTTGTGCTTGCAGGGCAGGTGCAGGAACCACTGAGCTAAATCCCTGGCCCAAATAAAATTTATTTTTTAAAAAAGTAAAGGGGCCGGAGATTTAGCTCAGTTACACCACACCTGTGTTGCAGGCACAAGGGCCCGAGTTTGATCCCTGGTACCAAAAAGGGCTCCCTGGGCACCTGGGCACCAGGGCACCAGCACCAGGCTCAGCTCAGGCTCCATGGACCCCGAAAGGAGCTGGGGCTCCGCAGGGGCCACTGCAGGGCACAGAGGCGGGCAGGTCTGCAGCCAGGCTGCCAAGGTCCAGTGGCCGAAGCCAGGAGATGTGAGGGACAAGGCCCCGAGCAGATCCCACAGGGGAACTGGGCATCCTGGGTCCACAAGGAAGCAGGCAGCAGGGAGGACAGATGCCTCAGCAGAGGCCAACCGAGGGAACGCTGAACGGGGAAACAAAATCACCCAGAGAAAGCCCGCTGCCGACGGGAAAGCCTCAGGCCAGAGGGTGAGACGCCTGCGTGCGCTTGAGGTGTCTCCCCAGGAAAGAGTTGCTGCTCGGGGGGAGGAGGACAGACATGGCACCAGGAGCTGGCACGCCGCTGTGACGGAGCCCCGAGGGTCGATGCCAGCTGTTCCGGCTGCGTCTGATGTTCCCCAAGGCCTCATGGTCAGAGGTGGCTGGATCTAGACTGTGTCACGCTGGGATTGGTTCATGGTGCAGTGCCAGGACCAAGGGCACTAGGATCAGGGTGTGAGCGCTGCCCGCCCTAAGCAGCCTGGGTAAGACGTAAGGGACAGAAAGAGCTGAGGTCCTCCCTGTGGCTTTGCTGCCTTCTGCCTGCCATGAGCTGTTTCTCCTCTGCGATGCCCTCTGCCTGGGGGTCAGCCGATTACGGACTGAAACCTCTAAAAACTGTGAGCTAAACAAACATTTCTCCCTTTAACTTTGGTGTTGGGTATTTTGTCTCAGCAGTGAGAGAAAAGTAAGACACTAGCCATGAAAAGACACTGACCTCAGTGGGACCAGGGACACCACGCCTGCAGTGATGCCCAAGACCATGGCCTAGCACACAGGACACACGGACACCCCCACACCGAGGGACCCGCTAAGGGACAAGGGCCCAGCTCTGCTCAAGGAGCAGAAGACAAGAGAAGACAACACGGCCCAGTGGTGAGGGGCCAACACGACCAGGGTGGAACTCGGTGGTGCGGATGGAGGCGGCACAGGCCGGACAGGCAGTGAGCTCCGCGGGCCAGTGGTGTCACAACACCACTGCCTTCTTAATCTGGACATCGCTCTTGGGGTCTGTGACAGGCTGGCACCAAGGAAAATGGGAATGAGGTGCTGCAGAACTCTATCACCTTTGCAGCTCTTTGGTATGTGTGCACAGAAAGTTAAACACCACAGCGAAAGGGGTGATGCTGCGTGAAAGGGGTGAATCTGGAAAGATGGCAGTGGTGTGCTACCAAACCCTCTCCAGAGACGTCCTGGGCAGCACAGCGTGGCCGCGTCTGTGGCTGGGCCTTGACCTTGATCTGCCACCGCCGACCCTGCAAATCCATCCCCTGGGCACATAGACCCCACTGAGGGCACTGCCACAACGGGTACAATTCCATGCACGCTGAACCACACACCTGTGGGAGTGTGCCTGTGTGTGCCCCGGGCCTCAGGCCAGCTGCAGAGAACATGGACAGAGAAGTAGAAGGGCATGTTGAGGTCCCCTGGCGTGACCTCAGACAACTGAGGAAGAGCAAGGGAGGGAAGGGTTATGACTCCGGCACCCCCCATCGATGTGCAGGTAACAAAAACCTTTACAGAGCCAGGCGTGGTGGCACACGCCTGTAATCCCAGGACTCAGGAGGCTGAGGCAGGGGGATCACTGTGAGTTCAAGGCCAGCCTGGTCGACACAGTGAGCTCAGGGCCAGCCTGAACTACAAAGGGAAACCCTGCCTCAAAAAAAAAAAAAACCTTTACAAGGGGGCAGGCAGGAGATGAAAGCCCTCCTCCACACAAGAGGGTCACAGAAGCAGCAAGGGCCACTACTGGACGTCATAGAGTGTCCCCAGTGCCGCACCATGTGATACGGGGATGGGGCACCACCCGCCACAGGCAGAGGGCACCACAGTCTACAGTGCAGATACACAGGCGGGCCAGGCAGGTGAGCCTGACCCTAGTGTGGACCACGCTGGATGGCACCTCCATGGTGACAGTCCCGCCCAGGTGTTTCCAGGCAGAGACCACATAGGATCCGTGTCCTAGGCCAGTCTCTGAAGGGGAAGTGTGTTGGGCAAACAGGAAAAGAAGAGATCCCTGGGCCAGGGACCTTGGGAGACCAGGTCACAGCCCAGCCCCGACAGCTGTGCCAGTGCAGGCCAAAGGGGCACCAGTGCCCTCGATGGGGCCTAGGTGCCAAGGGGTGATGTGTGGGGTGGTTGGTGGAGGTTTGAGGCCAAGCCACCGCCTGCTCAGCAGACGGCTGGGACGTGCCACGGCCGGCGAGAGCCAGTACCCGGTGGTGCACAGGGACTGGTACTCATGGACGCACACAGGGACACGCCACGTGCAGCACACTCTGGCATTGTGACACGCCACGCACGTGGGCCCAGCACTCACCAACGCACAGGGCTGGGGGCATGCCCAAGCACAGCAGGTATTGGTACAGCAGGAAGAGCATGAGGAAGAGGCAGTAGTTGGGCCAGAGGCGGGCGATGGCCTCACGGCGCCGGCGAGTGAGGATGGCCACCAGCCAGCAGCCGTGCAGGATGACCATGAAGTCCATGCGCTGCCCAATCACGTTCACGGCCATCAGGAAGCAGGTCTGGAGCGCGGCGGGGTTGTGGGGTAGACTGGCTTGGAGCAAGGCACCTCCCCGGCCCCGGCCCCGGCCCCAGCCTCCGAGGGCTGCAGACACAGGGGCTGGGGGCCTCTGCACCGCCCCCTCCCCAGTACCCTGGGGGCCAGCACAGGCCGGAGACATCTCACCACACACGGGGAAAATGAGGCTCAGGGATGTGGGCTCCAGGGCAGTGGGACTCTAACCGCTGCTCCCCACTGCCCTGGGCACTGTAGCTGGGCTCGCTGTGGCCGCAGGCCCTGCTCAACCTAGACCTGCACCGGCCTGCCCCACAGCCTGAGGATGGGCCCTGGGCCCAGGTGGTGTGGGCCTAGCTCAGGCCCTGCCTTACCTCTAGCCCAAATTTGTAGAAGAAAAAGTTGACGAAGTACTTGAGGCAGCTGAGCAGGTCCTGGTCGAGCCGCTGGCGGGTGCCATCCGCACACACGGCCTGGGCAGGCAGCGGAGCGCGCTGGTGCTGCCGGCGGTAGTGCTCCTGCCGCCGATACACCATAGCCTCGAACACCAGCAGTAGGAGGATCTGCAGGTGGTTCTGGGAGGGGAGGGTCAGGGTCACAGGGGAGCCATCAGGGGCACCCCCAGACTGGCCACCTGGCCCCCACTCACCTGGATGTAACCCAGGTTGGGGAAGCCCTTCCGCACCCCGAACCAGTTGGCAGGGTCAACGGGGCCGCGGTACAGCAGTGACTGGCGGATCTCTGCCGCCTGGAGGTTGGTGCTGTTGGGCAGGGGCTGGGGGCAGGGCCAGGGATCAGCACCACTCCCAGGCCAGGCCCTGGCACGTAGGGGCAGGCTGCAGGCACAGGCCCATCCTGAGCCCACCCCAGAGCTGCCCACCCTGGGCCAGGGGCTGCCAGCCTCAGAGCTGCCTCAGGGAAGGGACCCCCTGCCTGGAAGTGGGGCAGCACGGGCCAGGAGGGGTGTGCAGGGGAGGGGCCAGTGAAAGCTCCGCCGGGGGCTGCCTCAGGCCTCTCCCGCCCCTTCCACTGCTGGCGGCCGGTCCCCACACCAGGCCACATTCCACAAGGAGCAGCCAAGCCAGGACACAGTGGCACAACTGGGGAGGCCAGGCCACGCACCTCAGTGCAGTTGCTGGCATAGTCCTGCGGGTTGACGACCTTGAGCTGGTACAGCATCTTACACACAATGATGATGCAGGTCCACACGGTGGAGAGGCAGGAGGCCATGGGCCGGAAGCGCGGGTAGGGCAGGGCGAAGGCCCACAGGACCACCAGCAGCAGGTTCATCACTGACACCTGCGGGGTGGGGCAGCGGCATGGGGCGGGGCAGTGCCGCAGGGCCAGTGGGCTGCTGCAGGGGACATGAGGCTTCCCAGTGGCCGGGCCACAGGCTCACCTCCTTCAGGGCCACCCAGACGGTGTACAGAGCCACCAGCTTGAAGATGTGCAGCTCCAGCAGGCGGCGCACAAACACCTGCACGCGGGTCAGGACGTCCGACAAGCCGGCAGCCAGCTCCAGCAGCCGCTCGGCCACTAGGCCCCACTTGCTGGCTGCACCTGTGAGGTGGGGCTCGGTGAGGAGCCCTCACCATCTCAGGGCCCAGTGCCTCTCAGATGGGCCACCCCTCACCTTCAGGGACCTGTGTGGCCTGGCACCTGCTGGTGTGCAGCTCCTCCTCCTCCTCCTCCTCCTCCTCCTCCTCCTCCTCCTCGGGCTGCTGCAGCAGGGGTGCCTCACTCACGGTGTCCTGCCTGCAGAGCCGAGTCACTGGAAGGCGCCACCTCCCCCCGGGTCCCCTCACTGTGCTGCTGCAGCCCAGGCCAGGTGCTCCTGCCCCTCCCCGTCACTCCCAGCCCACAGGTGTGTGAAGACACCCATACCTACGGCCTTGGCCCCACCGAATGCCCCAGATGTGGCCCTTCTGGGTCCACCAGCAGGAAGTGGGCTGCAGGCACCTGTGAGCCCAGCGGGGGCGCCGGGCACTGGGCGGGGACACGTGTTCTAGGTCAGTGAGCTGCATGAAGGGCTGGTGGAAGTAGTGCAGCTGCAGGATGCAGGCGAGCAGGAAGAAGCCAGGGATGAGGATGCTGGAGAAGAGCTCCGACACGCTGAACTGCTCCAGGCCCAGGTCCCCCAGCCTGGGTGGGTGGGCAGGTGTCAGCATCCTGCGGCAGGCAGCTGCACAGGGTGGGCACAGGGAGCCCAAGCCCGGCCCCTCCACTCACTGCTCATCCGTGAAGCCTGTGAGGTTACGCCAGTAGGCAGGGAAGTCTTGGAACTGGAAGGTATAGACAGCGATGAGCACCAGCATGGTGTAGGCCACCACAAACCACCAGAAGGCCTTGAGCAGCTTCCGCCACAGGCTGTAGTAGACCTGCAAGTGCAAGAAGACTAGTGAGCCCCGCCCACCAAGTCCTAAGCCCCGCCCACCAGGTCCCACCCCCAGAAGTGAGCCCCGCCCTCTGGGGCCCACAGTGCTCAGCACCGGGCCTTACCAAGCCCCTGCGGCATGGAGCCCGCCCACACGCGGAGACCCGCCCCACCCCACACCTGGAAGAGAGTGAGGCACAGCAGGAAGAGGAACATGTAGACGATCTTGTAGACCACCAGGCGGCCGGCGAAGCTGACCACAATGAACATGCCGGCGCACACGTAGATCCAGTACTTGGCATAGATGCCGGTGACCAGCTCCCCCAGGCTCCGGAGTAGAGTCTGCGTCTGCGCGTGCGTGGGCTCTGTGGCTGGCGGGAGGGGTCCGCAGTCTCAGGGCGAGGCGTCCCGGGTGGGGCCTCCCATGGAACCGCTGCTCACCTGCATCTGCCACGGCCACCTCCAGCAGCGCCGCAGGCGCCTGGGTCTTCCTCAGCAGCTTCTCCTTCACGAAGCGGCGAAGCAGCAGCCAGAAGGTCAGGGTGTAGAGCAGCTGCAGGGTGCAGGCGTCAGCAGGCGCAGGAGGCAGGATGGCCACCACATGTGTGTCACACGTCACACGCAGGCACCCATCCGTGTCTACACGCCCACACCTGCATGGTCTCACATGCCAGGCTCACGTGTTTGCACACACACGCACGCTCACTGGCACCCACAGGCTCACATCCAGAAGGAGACACAGTGACCCACGGCCCCGGAAGACCTGGCACAGGGACACGGTGACCCAACCTGACAACACGCGTCTCGGAGACCCAGGGGGCCCATGGGGTGTGCCGGGGCTGGGTCGGGCCGGCCCTGGACACACAGCGTCAGTCATTCAGTCAACAAACTCTGGATGGGGTCTGGGTGATTGCTAGACACAGTGCCCTCTCTGAGTCCCCGCCCGGTGAGCAGTGGACAAGGAATCATCATCCTGTGGGTTGTTGGGCAGCCCCACCCCGCACGGGGCTCACCATGGTGCCGAGGTCCAGGCAGGGGTAGCGAGTGTGCTCCAGCCCCAGCTGGCGCAGGCTGATGGGGCCCAGGGTGGTGGGCAGCTCAGGCCGCAGGTCCATGGCCCACACATAGCGCAGGCAGCAGAGCGCCAACCCGTACAGCAGGATGCAGGGTGCACACAAGATGGCCAGCTGGTGGCGGCTGCGCACCGTCCAGATGAGGCAGGCCCACAGCAGCAGCACGAAGGTCAGCCAGCTGTGGTAGGTGATGCTCCAAACCTGTGTGGCGGGGTGGTGGGCAGGCAGGTTGCACGGCCACCAGGGCCGAGGTGGACTGGGCTCTCCTCCCCGCCCCCCCGGCCCCAAACCTCACCATCATGGCAATGAGGGCACACACATAGCTCTGGTCCATGATGAGGTGGCCCAGGCCGTGAAATGGGGAATTCTCTCTTGGCTCAGCCAGCCTGGGACTCACTGAGGGCGGGGCAGCAGTCAGCTCCCTCAGGGACACCCTGAGTCCCTCCCCACACCAGCGCTGAAGTGCAGACAGGGGCCAGAGCAGGAGCAGGGCCTGTCCCAACGTGTCGTGGGCCTGGTCTTGACTCCCAAGCCCCCTGAAGGATGGGGTGCAGACCCCCAGCCTCCTCCTGCTGTGCCAGCGACTCTGCCTCTCAGAAATTACACCTGACCAAGGCTCAGAGTGAAAAGAGAAGCCACACGACAGTGCTGCCGCCCATGTGAAGTGCCCAGGACACACCCTCCCAGGACACAGCGGCTGCCTGGACCCCTGCCACCTGCAGCCACCCTCAAGTCTCAGGGTCAGCACCGCCTGGCCCAGAGGAGCCTGCAGGCTGCACTCAGGACCTCATGGCCAGCAGGGGGCAGCCTTGCCCTTGCCCACAGGCTGTGACAGGATCCTGGAGTATGGGGTGGTGTGTGCCCCAGGCGCCTGCCACCTGCTACTTACAGGGACTCTGCCGGCTGGGGCTCTGGCTGGTCAGGTCGTGCACGATGCAGTTCTCAGCCTCGGTGTCAGGCCCCGTGAACGTGGGGATCATGTGCTGCAGAGGGCACGTGGTGATCCACAGGCTGGCGGCTCCCTAGGCCCTGCTCACCCGGGTACCTGGTGGCCTCCCCGTCCTGGCTGCCCCTGCTCACCTGTGTGGCCTCCCCATCCTGGGTGGCCCTGTCTGGGCCCCGGGGCCCCTGCTCCAGCTGGTCCAGCTCCAGCTCGGGCCCCTCATCTGCCCTAGCCGCTTCCTTTCTCTGTGGAAAGCAGAGCGGCAGGCTCAGCCACACACCAGCCCTGGCCCAGCTCCCCACCGAGTCAGCCAGAGCTGGTGGACACTGGGCTCACCTGGCCCACAGGCCTCCGCTGCCGGAGCTTCAGGAGGGAGATGAGTGTGTAATAGAGCAGCAGCAGGACGCCTGGGCTCACGTACACCGGCCAGTCGTGGCTGGTGTTGAGGACCAGCGTGTGGGGGCTGGAGCAGTTGGTGGGGCCCATGAAGTCCTTGAGACCGAACACCCTACCGGGAGAGAGCCTGTCACTGGCCACCTGCCCTGGGTTCAGAGACAAGCCCCGGCCAGGTGGGCAGGACCAGGGGAGTGCAGAAGCCCTCACCTGGCCCAGACACTGGCAGGTGGGAGCGCAGCCTGGACAAAGGGTGTCTGGTAGCAGTAGAGGCAGATGAGATGGCCGGCACCAAAGCAGCCCACCACGACACAGAGGGTACTGAAGCCCAGAGGGCTGATGGGGAAGTGGCAGGCCCACCAGGTGCAGATGCCCAGGAAGACCAGCAGGTAGACACTGGAGAAGGCCGAGGGGTGGGCGATGCCTGCGGGCGGGACAGGGGGTCGCCGGGTCACACCTGCTCACTGTGGAGTTCCAAGAACTGTCCCCTCCCGCTGCACAGCACTCAGCACTCCCCACCCTGGGTACCTGCCAGCGCCAGGAGCATGACAGCCAGGGTCCGCCCCGCGGCCACCAGCAGCCAGTGCGCCGTGACCCAGAAGCGGGAACTCAGCCATGTCCTGGGCTTGGGGGCCAGCTCGGGGACTTCCTGCAGCCCCGCTGGGGGCCTGGTGTCCGAGTCCCTCTCGGCGTCATCCTGCTGAGGCAGAGCCGGATCCAGATGGGCAGCGGTACGGAAGCCTCTGCCCTGGCTCCACCACCTGGGGCTTCCCTTTCCCCTGCCCCCAGCCAGGCACAGGGACCCCGACTGCCGTGCAGGCTGCCGCAGACCCTTCTAGTGATGCCCAGATCTGCCTGGAGCTCCTGCCCGGAGCAGCTGGCTCCAGAGAGGGACCACAGGAAGGAGAGGGAACAGCGGCCACCGGCCACCTTCAGACCACCCCCAGGGCCGCAGGGCCCCTCTGGGCTGGGGCTCTGGAGAGTGCACAGCAGGCACAGGCCTCCCGGGGCCCTGCCCTTCCCCACCCCAAAGGACTGGGCCTGCTGGGGTGCTGCCCTCCCTGGCCTCCAGAGGGACAGTTGGAGGAGTGCTTGCCTGGGGCTGGGGACCTGCCTCCCCCAGCCCTGACAGATGGCTTCCCGGCAAGGGGCTTTTCCCAGGCCCCAGAAAGCCAGGGTGGAGTGGAAAGAGCACACACTGTCGTCAGAGGCCCTGGCTCTGGCCAGCTGCTGGCAGCCTGCGTGCCCAGCTGTGTTCCACAAACAGCTGAGGTGGTACTCATGCCCAGGCTGAGAGCTTGGGATCTGAGGCCGGACGCCTGGGCCCCGCCCCAGCTCCCATGGTCTCATGCTGTGCAGCCTAGGCAGGTCCCTTAACCTCTCTGAGTCTGTGTCCTGTCTGGGAAGTGGGGATTGGACACTGTATAGGAAAGGTGAACCAGACAGCCTGGCCCTCACAGGTCAGTCCTGTGGAGGCTGGGAAGTCCTAGGAGGTGCCGAGGACCTGAGCCCAGAGGCAGGGCACGGGGTGGGAGGCTGGGCCAGGTAAGCAGGCCAACCAGCCCAAGCCTTCCCTTACAGCCACACAGAGCTGCAGGTGGCCTGGGCACGTCCCTGTCAGACTCGAGTGTGGCCCACAGAGCCCAGCCATAGCCGCTGCCACAGGCAGCCAGGGGCGCTCACTCGCCACAGGGAGGGCTGTGGGTGACCATGGTGGGCACGGGAGCCTGGCCTACTGTGTGGCCACACGAGTCCTTCCCTCTCTGGGCTCCTTTGGAAGCCGGACCTGTGCCCAGCCGTTGTCAGCCACTGATGAATGGGCACTGGGCTGCAGCCCAGCACCCTTGGGCAGGGAGCGAACACACCGGGCACCTGGGTGTCCTAAGTCCCAGCCGGGCCCTGGACCTGGCTCTTGGCAGGGGCCAGGCCGGGTGTGGAGGGAGCTGGACATGCCAGGGGCTTCACGAGAGCTGGCAGGGAAGATCCCGGAGCCCAGGGGCCTTGCAGGGGCCTGAGCCTCTACAGCCCCCACCCCCCAAGGACGCAGTCCTGCGGGTCTCTCGGGCCATGCCACGCAGTCCTCCTGCCGCACGGCCCCAAAGGCCCCCCAGGCCGGGTCCTGGGTCCAGAGCCTGGCAGGGTTCGCTCTTGAGTGGACAGGACCTTGTGCTGGGAGGGCCCGGGCAGGGGACCCTGGCCACTCTTCTCCCGTGACCCCTCTCTGTAACCCACTAAGAAGTCAAAGTAGAAAGAAGCAGACAGTCCAGGATGGCCTGGGCCGCCCCGGGCAGGCGCTCCCCTCACCGGCTCCTGAGCACTCCTCCTTCGGCGCCCACACAGGCCAAGGCAGATGGACGACACCACCAGAACGCCCAGGTCAGGGGCCACCAGGCGGATGGTGTTGGGGATGTCCTTCAGGTCCAGCCTGCCGGGGACCAAGGAGGCACAGTGAGCATGGGGCCCGGGCTGGCCCTGGGGACGGGGCGGGCTGGGTCTTACCTTGTGACCCCAATGTGTCGAGAGACGGTCTCCCAGGGGCCACCTGTAGACAGAGCAAGGGGGCCAGGTCAGGAGGGTGACACAGCAGGAAGCCCTAGGGCGCAGGGCTCTGGGACCCATCTCAGGGGCACTTGAAAAGTAGAGGCCTGTCTCTACTGACAGGGAACCAGGCCTTAAGCCGGGCATGGCGGCGCACTCCTGTGATCCCAGCACCTGGGAGGCTGAGGCAGCAGGATGGCCATGAGTTCAAGGCCAGCCTGGGCTCCATAGCAAGACCCTGTCTGCAAAAAAAAACCAAAACAAAGCCCAGAATGTAACTCAGCGGTGCAGCACCTTCTTGGCAAGCGCAGGGCCCCTAGTTCGATTCTCGGTACAAAAAATAACAAAACTCAAAACAAAACAAAAAAAGGAACTGAGGCCTGACGCCCTGTTGGCCCAGCACGGCGGCTTGGAGCCAGACAGGGTCTCAGGATGGCAGCCGTCTGTGCTGCTGGGGACAGGAAGGAGTAGACCCCAGTCTCAGCTGTGGCCGACCGGGGTCCAGCCTTGTCAGGATGACGGCCCCCGGGTGACGGGCAGCTCTTGGTGCCAGCTGGGGGACAGGTGCCCCAGCTCCAGGCACTGCCAGGGAAAGGGTGTGGGGCACCCAGGGCCCAGGCACCTCCCAGCTGTGTGGCTCAGGCAGAGGACGGTGCAGACTGGGGGACACTGCGAAGACCCGGCTGCTCCATGCTGGCTCTGCCCAGCCCAGCCTGTGGCCAAGTCATTGCTGGAAGATGTCCCCAGGACCACCTGGGCTGGACAGAAATCCTGGCTGGGTGCTGGGGCCTGGCCCTGTCAGGCAGTGCCTGCGCAGGGCGGGGCATCCCGGGGTCCCCGGTCAGCTGTGGACACTCCCGCCCCCCAGGCCAGGTCCCCAGGCGCCCTGCCCTCCAGCAACTCACAGTTGGGCCCCAGAAGCTGGTCCAGGCTGGGCACGGTGTGCAGGATTATCTGAAAGGCCAAGTGTGCCACCAGGAAGAGCAGGCTGAGGCTCAGCAGGGCGCGCAGGAGGCGGATCGCATGCCCTGCTGCAGAACGGGCAGGTGAGGCGGAGTGCAGACCCCCAGGGCACTGCCCAGCAATGGGGCCACCCGCTACGGCCTGAGACCCACGGCCACGGGGACATGGAATTGGAGCAGGCAGGGGGCACTGACAGTCCTCACCCGTGCCGCAGCCCTGGGGGTGCTGTCACCTCCCCGACACAGAAGAGGACATGGCCAGAGCAGAGGAGCAGCTGGCCCAAGGTCACACAGCGAGGGGCCAGCAGGGCCTGCCCACCAGGCCTGGGCAAGGGCAGGAAGGAAAGGACCCTGGGCTTTGGAGATGCAGCAGAGATTTGTCCCTGCCGGGCCACTGTAAGAGGGAACCAGAAGTAACACTATGGCAAGCTGGCAGCTAGGCCCTGTGGGGGGCCCCCGGGGAGCAGGGTCGGTTCTCTCTCCAGGAAAGGGGGTGAGCAGCGTAGGGGTGGGAGCTGTGGGGCTGAGATGGGCCCGAGCCTGGGAGCACAGAGCCCGACGCACAGGACTGTGGCCCTGCTGGTGTCTGGCATGGCCAAGAACCGGGCAGGTCTCGTTCTGCTCATCAGGTCACAGGGAGTGGGGGCTGGGAGCCGGCCACAGAGCCACAGGGCCACGGAGCCTGGCGGGCGCAGCCGTGCCTGGCCAGACCTGTCCTCACTACTGGGGTGCCTAGCTTGGCTTTGCCCCTGCAGCCACACTTCCTGGACTTGGCCCACCGCAGGGAGGCCCTCGGCTGATGGGCTGCCCTCGCCTCTGCTCCTGTGCGCAATGGCAGCTCATGCGGGCCAGGGGCCAGGGGCCAGGTACTCAGCCCCTCGCTGGCAGTCGGCGCGACCCCAGCCCAGCCAACTCCAAGGATGAGGACTGTAGACCCTGGGGACAGATGGGTGCCACTGCCCACCCAGCAGGGTCACAGCAGGGTCTGCTTTTTGCTGTTTCTGGGGCACAGTTTGCTGAACCCAACTGGAATCACCCTCAAGGCCCTGGGGCTGCCTGGCAGTTGGCACCGCCCGCTCTCCTGCAGATCCCACCTGCCACGGCTCTGCCACGAGCCCATCGGTCAGGGGTCTCCCTGTTGCTGCCCACCCCCGGCTGGGCCCCAGGCTCTGAAGGGACAGCCTGGCCCCGGGGAGCCCTGGCACCTAGGGCCGTGCAGTTCCAGAGCCTGGTCGGGCTGGCATGAGACTCTGCCAACCTCCATGGGGTGAAGGCTGCAGCTGGTGGTCACCTGGGGAGCTGGAAGCAGGGTCCCTGGGGACTAGAGTCACCTGGGTGCTGGGCAGAGGTGCCATTAGCAGAGGAGGGCACTGGCTGCCTCTCCCCTGGGGACCTGAGTGGACTGTCTGTTGCCTGCGAGCTGCAGGGCCCTCACCGTGCCAGCACAGGGAGGACCTGGCGGGGCTGGGTAGCCCCACAGAGGTGGGCACGTGGGGCTGGCACAGGCTGCACGAGTGGCACTCACTGCAGAGTATGGGGAGTCTGGGCAGGGGCACAGGAAGAAGGGCAGAGTAGAGAGGGTCAGGGTAGGACCCAGCGCAGTGGACACATCAGGCAGGGAGGGCGCATCCACCACTCAGGCCCCTCCCTCCCTCCAGCCACCCCGAAGTCCAGGCTGGGTCTTGCACAGCCTGGGCCCCTCCCAGCGCACAGGGCCCGCGTGTCCTGACAAGGGAGCAGGGGAGGCCGTGCTGGACGAGCCCTGCTGACTGCGCCCAGCACCCTTTGTTCCACGCCGCCGCCACCCGGCCTCTGGGCCCTGGCCTTGGCTCCCTGCTCACTACCTGGGTAGGGACTGTGGAGGGACTGTCCACGGGGAGGGGGCTGTCCAGTCCCACCCAGGGCCAGCACACCCCTTCCCGTCCACAGCAGGAAAGGGGCGGGCCCCTGAGGGATGAGCAGCCCTGTGGGCCCCTGCAGGAAACAAGAAGCAAGCTGGAGCGGGGCCCTCCTGCTCCCTGTGGAGTAGCTGACCCCGAGTCCCCCAAACTGCTGCTCAGCCCACACAGGCTCAAGGCCGACTGCTGCCCTCTCCTGGCTGCATTTGCCCCTCCCAGCCCTCCCTCTTCCGCCTGTCTCCCGCTGGCCCTGAGGAGCCTTCCCCGCCCCGATGCCCACCAGCCCTGCCCTCCTGACTCCTTGGAGCTCCCAGTGCCCACCCCTCGAGGGGCTCACACATCAAGGTGGGGCCAGCCAGGGGCCCCATCATCCTAGCAGAGAGGGAGAGGTGTCCGTGCCGCTGAAGCACCCCTCAGGGAGAAGGTACACGCAGGGGAAGGGGACTGGCGGGGCCCAAGGCAAAGCTCTTGCCAGAGGCTCACCCGGTGGCCCCTCAGGCCTGAAGCTGGGGTGCATGGTGTCCCCGGGGACTGCAGGGTGGGCGGGGCCTTTGCTCCCAGGCCTGGGACACAGGCTGTCACCCAGGCGGCTGGGGATCTGTGCCCAGCACCCACCCACAGCCAGGCACCAACGAGCTTGGTCCTGGAGGGTGGGGGAGTTCTTCAGGGAGCAGGAAAGGTGAGAGGGGGCTTCCCTCCACCCTGAAAGATGAGCAGGTGGCAGGGAGCCGGACTCATGGGCCTGTGGCCATCTAAGGGCCCATGCCAGCTCCCCCCACAGCCAGGGGTCGAGCTACCACCTACGTGGGGCCACCGGGCACCATCAGACCTTCCACTGGGCAGTGCCAAAGCCAGCAGCTGCACGGGCCGCAGTCCACAGGGTGCCGCACATGGCCAGGCCTCACATTTTCCTCTCTCTGCCTGGAAAAACCGGGCAGTGTCTGTCCCTGAAGGGCCTCTGAGCAGGACAGATGGGCAGACAGAGGGTCAGGCAGCCATCTCCCACTGCCACCCTCCTCTACCTGGCCAGGACCCACACTCCCCACATGGGATGGGGGACACCCAGGGGTTTGAGGCCCCAACATCCACAGGCTGATGGCTTCCTGCTGGGCTGGGCCTCGGCCCTGCACACCCCAGCCACATGTCCTGGGGGTCCTTTCCTGGGTCCCAGTGGCTCCAGCACTTGCTTGAGCCAAGCCCAACAAAATCCCCTCACTGTTCCCAGAACCCCAGAAGGCTACCCACACCCTGAGGCCAGTGCTGGTTCCAAAGCCTCTGAGCTGGGAGGGCAGGGCCTCCGCATGAGGCCGGGAGGGTGCCTGTCTTCCCCACTCAGTGATGGGTCCGAGGCATCTCCGGCCCAATCTCCGGGCCCCATGGGCCTCTGATGGGCTTAGGGTGCAGTGGGCTGAGGCTGCCCACAGCCTCACAGAAGGAGCACACGTTCCAGGGGACAGCAGCCGGCCCTTACGGGTTCTGTGGGACAGGCCCAGGCGCCGAGGACAGCGAGAGCCCCCAGCAGCCAGCAGCCGAGACAAGGAAACCAGTCCCAGAGCCTCCCGAGTGCGGCCCTGCCCACCCTAGCCGCTAAGGTCCAACTCCAGGACCAGTGGGAGTCACATGACCAGTCAGTCACAGCAGCACCTCCTGGGAGCACGGGGCAGCCTCAGGGGCAACCTGGAGCACTGGCGGTCTCTGGAAGGCACAAAACAGACGCTGGCTACCGAAGCACAGGTGACCAGAGGCCAGGGTCCTCTCCAGAAGTTCTGCCCTTGCTGCCGTGGCCAGTCAACCTGACCGTGCCTCTCCCCACCCCACATGAGGAGCCTGGAGGGCGGCAGCCTGTCCACGCCCAAGCCCACAGGGAGGAGGCCGTGACCCTTGCTGCCACCAGGATGTGGCCATAGCCCCGCGCGCCTCCCACCCTGTGGGCTTGGCACACAGAGGAATAAGATGCTTCCCGCCCGGGGATGGGACACTGGGCCTGCACACTCACTGTGGCTCCTCAGGGCCGTTGGTGAGGTTGAGGCCCCAGACACGACCCTTCCTGTCCCTGCACACAGCCCGGGAATGACAGGAAGGATTCAGAAACAGCTGAGTCTCCGGCAAGAAAGGAAACCGAGTCTTGGTGTACGTGCTCCTCCCCCAAGTGCCCCACGCCCCCTTACCTCGCACGCTGTGCCTCGCGGGGCCGGGTAGCCATGGCAGGAGCAGCAGGAGCAGCAGGTAGACCAGCGAGAGTGCATTCACGCGCAGCAGGGCGGCTGTGGGGAGATGGGTGCTCAGCTCACTCTGGTCCTCCCAGCCCCTGTGGGGTGCACGGACAGAGGCCACATCTCTGTCGCTGGGCACCACTGCTCCCCACCGTGGCCCCTAACCTGGCTAGGGTGCATCTGCGCACTCCTGTCATGTGGCCGGGAAGGCACTGTGCTCCCAAGGACGGTGCCTGGCATGTGACTCATTTTCCTAACTTGCTTTCTACTCTGTTTTCTTTAACTTTTCGAGTCAGGGTCTTGCTAGTTTCCACAGCAGCCTTGAACTTGCTACGTAGCTCAGATTGGCCTTGAACCCTCCCTCCTCGTGGTTCAGACTCCCAAGAGCAGAGATGACAGGTCTATGCTGCTGTGCCCAGCTGGTCTACTCCGATCAGCGCTCAGCCCATTGGCGTTTTGGCTCTCGGTCCCAGGAACTCCGCCGGGGGAGCCGTGCCACACAGTGCAGGGGCCCTACCTGCCCCTCACAGGTCACCCCGCTCCCTCCCAGGAGTGACTTGACTGATCCAGCTCTCGTCCCAGAGGAACGAGGCCCACTCAGCTTTCCTGGGGTCCAGGGGAGACCACATGCTCCCACCTCTGTGCCCTCTACGCCCCAGGTGCAGCAGCCTCAGGAGCCCTGCCCAGGGAGGCAGAGCCCCATGCCCTCCTGGACACCGACCCGTGGCTCCGCCTGTGCCCAGCAGAGGTGCCGCTGCCCTTCTGGGTCCACTGAGAGGGCTGGACCCAGAGGGGGTCCCCCCTGGGGTTGTTCCTGTCATGCTCTGCCTCACGTACCCCACGTTCGAGGACCACTGCCCTGCTGAGGCTCTGGCGTTAGCCAGCCAGACTCAAGGACAGAGCCGTCCCAGGACGATCCTTCTGGAGGGAGGGGACAGGACAGGGCAGGGTGTTTTCAGAGCCAGGCCAGGCGGGTCTCCTCTGGGAACAGGGCCAGAGCGGCAGTGCAGGCCTGGGGGAGAGGCTGTGCAGATGGACGCCGACTGGGTAGGGCTTGCCCAACGCAGGGTCCCTAGGCCTCTGGTGGCCAGAGTCACAGCAAGACAGTGTCCTCACTGCTCCAGAGAGCAGAGGGTACTGCCCGGCGCCTGCCCGCTGCCCCAAAGGCTGCCCAGGAGCTACACCCGTTGGCTGGAATTCCTCAAATCTAAGGTTCTCCGCAATTACACATTTTCATAACAAAAAATCAATCTGCTGAGCCCAAGGGGCAGGAGGGAAGTGCATTTGTAAGAAGCCTTCCACACACCCTGGCTCTCCAGAGCTGCACTCCAGTCTCCCAGCCGCTGCCTCCCACCAGGGCCAGCCCAGCCCCATTCCTGCTGCTCAGCACCTGACCCTCGTGCCATCCCGGTGAGGGCTTCTGCAGCCAGGCGATGGCCACTATGCACGGGGCCAAGAGACTTCTTCCCAAGGACCAGCGCTGCAGGCCCCTCGGAGGCGACACTTGGGGGAGTCACACTCTGCCGGGAGCCCATGACACGGAGCAGTCACAGAGAGCACGAGTGTGACCAAAAGGCTACAGCTGGCCTCCCAGCAGCCCGGCACTGGAGGCTCCCAGGGCAGACACAGGCCTGGGTGCAGGGACAGGCTCATCTCCCAGTCGGCCCAATCCAGAGATGGGAGCTGCGAGGGACCGAGTTCCTGTTCAGGAAGGTGGAAAAGCCCTGGAACGGATGGCAGTGGCTGCACAGCAGTGAAAATGCATGTGAGCCACTGAACTGCACCCTTGAAGGTGGGCCAAATGGCGGCTCGTGGATTCGGTTACAAAGCTGGAGACGAGAACGGACGGCCCCTGAAGCTGAGAAGGGCTCAGAAACTGGATGGGCAGCTGTGGGCCGGGGCCGGTCTGAGCTGTCCGTGGATGACAATAGGTGGGTGAGGTTGGGGGGCAGCTGGAGGCCCCGTCTCCGTGACCTGATCCCAACCTGGCCAAGCAGGAGCGAAGGAGCCTTCCAGGAGCTCTACCAGAAGTAGGAAACCCGCAGTGGGGCCACTGCCCGCCCTGGGGGCTCCTCCTTGGTGTCCAGGCCCCTGGGGGCATCACTGGCACCCCGGGATTCCACCTTTCATCCTTCCCTTCACTCGGTCCACAAAGGACAGGCCACACAGGCAGTGAGACAGGAACACCACAACCCGGCAGGGTGCGCCCTGCCCACAGTGAGGAAACTGAGCCCCCACTGGGGTCCAGCTTGGCAGGGGCCCCGAGTGTGCTAGAATCAGCCCGCCAGCCCCCCCCAGAGCACCCGGGCCACAGGCACGGCTGGGCACTGGGCTGGCCCTGGCCAGCCTCCCCGGCTCCATTTCCTACCACCCACTCTGCCAGGAGGCTGGCACGGGGCAGGTGGGCAGCGTCCGGACAGCATCAGACTCCAGCCCAGGGGACACACTGGGAAGGCTGAGCCCTGGCTCAGCCCCAGCCGGGGGACAGGACAGGGGCTGCAGGGTCTCGTTTCCACCTACCAGACCCGTCAACAGCCTCAGGGGTGGAGGACAGGGTGGGAAGCAGGCCGCGGGGCCCGGCGACCTCAGGCCAGCACAGGGTGAAGGCAGAGTGGCCGATGCTCGTGTCCCTGACCCTGACCCCGAGGGGCCATAGGCCGAGCAGTGTGTGGCCGGGACACTGGCCTGGGTGACACTGGTCTAAGCACATCCTTGTGACCCCACTGAGGGGCTGGAGGCCACGGGTGCTGGAAGGGGGAGGCCACGGCAGAGAGGGAAGAGATCCTGCTGGAGGACGGTGGGGACGAAGTGCGGAGGAGGCACCAAGCTGGCTGTCCTCCCAGGGCCACACGGCTATGACCTCACCGAAAAGCCTTTCCTGAGCCTGGGACAACAGCTGGGCTGGGCAGGAAGGGCGACCGGCTGCACGCAGCCCTCCTGGGCAGGACCCTAGCAGCCGGAGACTGAGGATGGCAGCACCCGCTCAGAGGTGGAGAATCGGAAGCACTGGCACAGCTCCCCCGGGGTGCGAGACCCAGGCAGGGCTGGCATCTAAGAGCTCCCAGATGGGTCAGAAAGGGAGGACAGGACAGCTGGCCCCCCGGGCCTCAGGCCACAGGCGGGAGGGCTGGTCAGCATCAGCAGAACCCTGAGGGGCCTGACCAGCCCCGGTGAGGGAGGTGCAGTGTTCCAGAGCTGTGGGCACCGGAGCTGAGGAGCAGGAGGCCTCCGTCCAAGGCAGAGCGAGGCCGCTCAGGACCCGGCCATGGAATCTGCCGGCACCCACCAGGGCTGGGATCTGCGCCCCTACTGCGTCCAGGCCTCGGGTTTGCTCTGATCCGGCCCAGGCCAGTCCGCCAAGGAAGGGCTTGGCATTGCATGCTTTCTGCTCACGGTGAAATCATGTGCCCTTGCTTTTCATTCTTGGAAGAAGAACCGATTATTTGGTGATGGGAAAAGCAGGACAGAGAAGGGCTCTGGGGGCCTCCACCTGCGTCTGGCCTCTGTCCCTGCCTGGGCTCCCTGGCGCTGCCCTGGAAGTTGGACATCAGCCGGTGTCCTCCAGTGCATGGGGCCTGCCTCAGGCATCTTCGGGGCTCGGCTGCTGCAGACCCTCCCCGCCCTGACTGAGGGCATCGCTCCCCGCACAGTGTCCCCACGGCATCCCCATGCTGCTGCCGGCCTCGACGCTCAGGCCCCAGGCGGAAGCAGCGGCACGGAGGCGGTAGCCTGGGCTCCAGCGCCCCAACCTGCCCCCCATCCTGGACTCCGGCCCCTGACAGCTCTGCGCTGGCACCCTGGGCACTCCAGCTGTGCTGACCCTGGGGCAGGGATGTGAGGTTGCAGCGCCTCGGCCTGGCCTGGTCTCATGCCGACCCTGTGTGGGTGCCCTGCCTGCCAGGCCCCTCCTGCCGGGGGCTGACCCTCCCCACGGTGCTCTCTGCTCTGTGCCCCTGCACACAGGTGGCTGCCCCTCGCGGAGGAGGAGGGGTTTGCACACCTTGGTCCCGAGACTCATCCTCGGCTGTGAAGTGCCCCAGTGCCCTGGTGAACCGCACACGGGGAGAGGCCGGCGGGTTTCAAACAATGCTTTGCTAACTTTCTTCACATCAGAAACAAATTTTAATTGTTTTGTGCCCATCCTAGCACCACACCTACAGGACCGCCACTGTGCCCTTGGCCGCTGGCCTCCCCGAAGGACAGACTGCAGGCTGGCGTAGGTCGCGCTCGGGCGGAGGGCCTGCCCCGTCCGTGTCTGCTGTGTGCAGAGCTGGCTGAGGCCGCTGCGGGCTCCTTGGCTCTGTTTCACTGCTCCAGGGCGCCAAAGGGATGCTGAAAATGTTATCACAGCCGGGGGTGAGCACTTCCAGGCCCGGCTCCCTACACGGTCACCGTCCACAGCTGGGACTGTTCTTTGCCCTATTAGTAAAGAACTATCAGACACCAGAGTTTAAGAGCTGCAGTGGAAAATGTGCAACAGAAACAACACTGAAAACCTGGCAGTTTGTACCGGTCAAAACTCCTCGAAGACACACAGAGGCTGCCATAGTTTTATTTAATTGGTAAGGCACTGAGACAGAATTCTGAAAGCATTACTAAGTACACGTATTATAAAATCAATACTATCAACAGAGGATGAAACCGGAAATATTTTGGGTCACAGTAAAAGCTTTTCCCAAGAATAATTTTAGAGTTTGATGTACATTATTCTGTATATAAAAAGGAAATTATTTTTTTTGTTGTTTGTTTGGTGTTTTTTTGGTACCAGGGATCAAACTCAAGACCTTGCGCTTGCGAGGCAGGCGGCAGCAGAACAACTGAGCTAAATCCCTGGCCCTGTTGTTGCTGTTTTTTGAGACAGGGTCCTGCTGTTAGTTCAGGCTGACCTTGAACTGTGTAGCCCAGGCTGGCTTTCAGCTTTCAGTGATCCTCCTGCCTCAGCCTCCCAAATGCTGGGATCACAGGTGTGTAGCACCAGGCTTGGCAGGAAACTCTTACTCTAAGTAGAGTTCTAAAGATAAGGTTGCTTAGGTGTGTGGTGCAGGCCTGTG